TTGTGTGTGTGTGTGAGCCACTAATTACCATGTCTTTAGCTCTGGCATGGCTTATGGCATTGCCACTAACTGTTGTTGCAGCCATAAACTCTATTGAGCAGAGGCAATTACAGCAGTTACATCACACTTGCCGCGCGAAGGCAGAGCAGACATCTTACATCCTCACTTTGGACTCTAATCGATATTTATCAATAAAAATTGTTAGAAATAAAATTATATTTGATTGATACTTTGTAATTAAATTTAAAAAATATTTCTATCTTGATTCGTTTGTATTTTACATTTATTGGAACTGAAAGATTTCGTTGAAATTTCAAAAATCAGTATATCGATATAATCGATATATTAGCCATGTAGGTTACGATTTTTTCGATAACCAAACGATATATTAAATCTTTCAAGTCTCAGAATAAGAGTAACCCCTTTTCGGCTTCAAATTGTGTGTCTTGTTGCCGCAATTGTTATGGCTGATGTCTAACCAAATACTGTTTGGCAGTCGTAATTATGTCCTGCCAGGAGGCATTTAAAATCGAACATTCAACTAATGCCTGGAGATGCCTACCCCTTCCCACTCCCGGCACAGCCCACTCCTTACACTTGGCGCCACGGGGCAGACACATTAAATTTTCAAGCCATGACAAACAGCAAATTTCACTTCAAACAAAAGACAAATTGCTAGAGGGCCAGGACTTTTTCGCCGCTTCCTATCAGGCGACGGCAATCTGCCGTCCTACCTTGGCATGCTCAACTCAACTCAGCGCAGCTCAACTCGACTCCAGTTCGCGTCAAGTGTTTGCCGAGGAGAATGAAGCGAACTTATCGAGTTTGCCCCGTTGTTTGCTAAATTGCAAACACATGCTGCTGCCAAGGAGAAAACTCCTGGGCGGAGCAGGACAATGGCCAAAGTTAAATCAGGCGTGAAATCAAGCAGGTGTTTCAATTTTTACCAAATTGACTTGACTCTGCTACCTGACTGGCTGACTGCCTTGTACCTTTGAATACCCGGCGACTTGATGAATCGATCTTTGGGCGGGCGGTACTTTCGGCACTTGACAGCTCGTCTCATTAAAGCGATTATTATGCATTGCATTTCTGATTATAAAACCAAATTAAAACTTATTTATGCAATGACCATGTATGGCAAAAGCAATCATTAAAATTGTTTTAATTTTTATTTTACTGTGCGGCATATAATTTTTCATATTTACTTTCTGACAATGGCCAAAGACGACCGACAGACAATGGCCGCGCTGTCAGGCCAATGTAAAAATCAAACAAACAAGCGACAAAAAATTAATTATATAAAAAAATACTCAATAATAATAACAATAATCTGGTCATGCGTGTCTCGGTACACGCACTGATTTCGGATATCCCTCAATTGAAAAAAGTGTAATTATTATATAATCATGCATTCGTATATAGTCCTGCAAAAGGAGCGCTCAGACAAAAGCGCACAGTTGATTTATGAACGAAAAGAATCGGAATGAAACCAAAAGTTGAATGGAATCATCCTCGATTTCAGTCCCTCCCTCGATCGTTTATTGCGATTGTCCATATTATTGCGCCTAGCACTGTGTGTATGCGTATGCGAAAGCTGCATTCTGTATCTGTTTGCTGTTTGTTGATTCGTTTTTTCTCGGTATATTATGTCAAGCATAAATTGGCATTTTCAACTGGATTTGCATGTTAATTAAAATGGCGCACGCACGGACAGTTGAAAACAAATGCAGACAAGGCATTAAAGCTCCACATCCACATCTACATCCAGTCCGGTTTCAACCACCGAATGGAAGTCCCCCTGCCCACCATTACCATCACCATTACCATTCTGGACCAGATCGATGACAGGGCCGCCTGCACTTCACTCGCGGCTGGTTGCATTTCATTCTGAACTCTATTTACTTGAGTGTTCTCGCCGAAAGAGGAGTCCCTAGGACGCACACACAAGAGCACAGGCCCCAGCGGATCTGAACCCGACCAACGACCTACACTTGACTTAACCAGCATTGTCGATTGCAGGGCCACGCCTCCTGGCACAAATGGGGGCGCTTCGGCGGGACTTTAATGATGATTTCTTCGGCGCTTAAGTCGTTTAAACTTCGCCCCCACTTTGGCGAAAGACTGTTGGTGTTGCTGTTGCCGTTGCCGTTGCCTTGGCCGTCCCGTCGTCATGGACTTGACGAGTGCCTTTTTGTGTGTCTGACGGAGGAGTCCGCTCCTCCTCCAGTTCGCTCCTCGCCTTTTTATTGCTCAAGTCTCCTTTCATGTGCATTACGGAGCACTCGTCCTCGTCGCCGTCGCTCCTTGAGCTGCTTTAAGCACTTGACTTGGCCTAGAGGAGGTGGCCCACAGCCCACAGACCCCAGGATGCAGGAGCCAGGATCCCGAATCCACTTGGTTGACTTAAAGAAAGATTGCGCTCGTCTAGATGGAATTATGGCCAAGTGCATAGTCGTAAAGTTCAATATTTTTATAGCTCAGTGTCTCGGTCGCATTGCCTAAAAGCCTGCACACATTGATCCTTTTTCCATCGCCATATCTCTTTCCCCATCGCCTTTTATGCCCTGAAACAGTTATCAGCTATTAAATAAATGTTCAGCTGCATTTTATTTAATTCATGTAGCAGCCAATTTCATAATTTATTATAAGCAGCCTGCCTCTGCCTGTCAGCGATTGTCTGGCCACGCCCACCACATCCCGCCTTCCGCGCCGGCCGTTTAATTGACATATTTAAAATATTAAATTGCATCCGTGTGCAAAAATGTAGTGGGCATTCTTTTTGGCTGCGTTTAAATATTTTTAGAGCTAGGATGGGTTTTTGTGTGCAAATATTAATTTTTAATCACGTAAATAACTCTGCATAGACAATGTAAACATTTTGGGAAGTGAAGAAGAGCCAACAGAATAATAGAGCCAAGCTCCATTGCATTTTTAAAAGCACTGAAATTAGTTATTAAAAATATAAGTTTAATTCATTTCAAAAAAATATACCTTTTATTAATTTTCTATTCCGGTTTTAAAAGACGGAAACTTAGCGTTTTTATACATTTCCTATGCATCCCTTTCACTTTCGTTAACCGCACATAAAAGCCGTAAAGCCTCACACGTGCGTCGGGAAAAAAAAGAGGCTGGTTTGAAAAATTAATATCCGAATTTGCAGCGCCAACAACCAACAGGATGACAACAATCAGCCCGAGGACATGGGAGCAAATGGGTGAATACCAGCCGGCGGGCGTTGCTGTATTATTAATTAAATGACGCTTAAAGGTACGGCAGCAAAAAAGCGTTTAGGGCATTCGGTGGGGCGGTCGACTATATTTGCATTTTTTGCGCCATTTTTAGTTTTTTGACTGCTGCTGGAAATTTATTATCAGTGACAGGCAGACAGACAAACAGCATCAGTAGCCTCGCAGCAAAAGGACTCGTTGACAAAAAATTAATAAACTAAAAACCGCAGGATATTTACACTGCACTCGATTGCATAACGGTTGTGTGTTTCGCTTTTGATTGTGTCAGTTTGGCATTTTACCAAATCATTGTAAAATTAGTTTGTATATTTTTGTTGAATTCTATACATTTATAGTTTTTTGTGTTCAACAGCGAGAAGTGCCTGGAAATTAGACGCCTGTTTATCGCATATTTGGCCATGCATAAAGTTCGCTGATTTGTGTTGCATAATTTTGGGCGCTCGAGCTGTTTATTTAGCGGCTGTGGCTGTGGTGGTAATGCCCCAAAGGCAAACGCTTTGATTTATTATGGAGAACGCATGCCTGCCGCCAGCACTTGAAGCTCAGCTTTGGAATTAAATTAAATTCTTTATAGAAAGTCTGTTCCCCTTGATAACATTTTTAGTTTGCCTTATTTAGATAGATAAATATTAATATTATAGTTATGAAATGAAATAAATTTTTGTTGAAAGTTGAAATAAATATTATAAATTGAGGTAGATTTCAATATTATATTTTTAAGTCCAAACTTTTCTCTTAAAATCTTTTTTCATGCCCATTGTTCTATGTTTATTTCATGCAAATCTTCACTTTTATTCTAAAGGAAACACTCCATTTTCTGACCCACGTAATCGTCGTTTAGCTCTTGGGACCTGCTTTAAAATTCAGAAACTCTTTAGCTTAAAGTTGTAGGAGCAATTAGGGCATGCTTCATTGGCTGCCAAAAGGTACATAAACTACGTGAGTGTGCCTCTCCCTGAGTGTTTGTGACCAGTCCCTTTCCCTTTCCCTATTCCTTTTCCCCACTCCTTATAGATCCAGTCCCAAACCCAGAGCCGTAGACCAACTCAGCTTTTCATGTAAACGCTTGCTTTGCCATTCGTTCCGAGTCATTTCATTTTCACTTTGTTGTTGGCGCACTCGCAGATGGAGATGGAAGGAGGGAAAAGGAAAAGTTGGGAGGGGATCTGAGTTCTACAATGCCATTTGCGCCGCCTGCCTTTTGCCCATAGTTCCACCTCACTAGCCACCCATGCCCATACCCATGGCACTGACTTAAAATGACAAACAACATTGGGAGTCGTCGTATTCGCAGGATCCCTGAGAAGCGAAAAATGCTTTCCCAGCACACACAAACCAAAAAGGGGAAGGGAAAAGGGGGGGACGCGTACATGCCATTGCACAATCATTGGATTCCGAAACATTTCTAGAATATTTAATAAGAAAACTGAAAATCGTTGAAATGCCAGCAACACTCATAATACCATCCCAGCCCTAAAGTGGGTGTTGGGCTGTTCTCGATAGAAGGCTAAGGTCAAAGACAATATTGAAATGCCAATTGAACTTTCTGCTATTATTAAAATTTCCCGGCTTCTAGGACGAAAAGGGAAAGGACCCAGTAAAACTGTCGTTGGGGTTCGGCAATTGGATCTTAGATTTAGATTTAATGGCAGATTAAACCCACTCTCTAAATAACAATCATTTTTATTCAAAACCATAGTATTCAATGCAAAACTAACCATATTATCCTTTTCTTCTTTGTCTTTGCAGGTATGTACAAAAAAGGCTCTTAGCCCTCGGGATAATCAATCCTTAAAGTGTTCCGTAAGTTCAAGTGCCTTTGTCCTGTCCAGTCCAGTCCAGCTCAATCTGAGCCAATCCGTTCAAGTCCCAGCCGAACCCTTCGAAGACACTGAAAAATTTGTATAGCTTATTATTAATAACATTGTAAGGAGGCAAGACCCCATCAAGTAGCTAAATCTTGGGAAGCATTTAAGCAGCATGTCAGAAACAAAACGATGGAGAAAAACCGCCGGGGCTGTCCTGGCTGTCCTGGCTGTCGCCGTCGTCGACATTGACAGTGATTACAAGCTAAAAGTATGAAAAACAGCAGAAACTACTTAAGCACAAGAAATAACAAAAGCCCTGACCGAACCAGGCCAGTTCAGTTCGGTTCGGTTCAGTTAAGTTTAGCTGGGATCTGGGATGGAAAGGGGACAAGGATGGGGATGGGGCGACGGCAGACTGTAGACAAATTTTTTGCATAAACACAGACGACAAAGCCAACTACTGACTGCACTTAAAACAAGAGTCAGACGGGGTGAGGCAGGACGAAAAGACGCAAGGACCAAGGGACCAAGAAAGCAGGCAAATCGAAGGCGAAAGCGGAAAGCCATCGAAGCCATGAAGAAGGAATTTCCTCAATTCCTGATGTGAGATGCGAATTTTTCAATAAGTGCAACCGTTTCGGGGTGGCGAAGAAGGGAAAGGACCAGGACCACCGGGCGTATTATAATTTCGGACGGGCCAGGACGAGCATCGTTTAAAATATGCCTGGGCGGGGCAGGATTCGCCTCCGACTGAGTCCCGGACTAGGAGCAGGAAGCACATAAGTAGAAACGGCTCAAAATGCAAAGTAGACGACATCCGCTTTGAGATTGGATGACGTTCGTCCTTGCCATCTTTGCCGTCGCCATCGCCATCGCCTTTCGCCTTCTCGTCCTCGCCGTGAAGTATTAAAAGCAAATAAGTAATAAAAATAATAATGGAGCATTTTTACCATTTTTTGCCCCTTCGAAAGGGAGCAGCCCACAAAAAAAAAGGAAGAAAAAGGATAAGCATCTTAGCGCAATTTCTTGCTGCCTTCTCAATATAACAAAAGGTCCTTGCGCCCAGGCAAATGTGCCGAAAATGTGGGGTGGAGGCAGCTGGCCCTCGTCCGCTGCCCTGTTGTCCTTTATTTCCATTTTTCGCTTTCCCTGGTCCGCTCATATTTCGCCCTTCGAACCCACAACCCCTCAAATCCCCTCCCACTTCCACTCCCTGTTCCCAAAAGGGACAACAGCATAAATGCAGGAAATTTGAATGGACGAGCGCAGTGAATGAAATTTGCAAATATTTTTCAAAAATTGAACTTTTCTGGCAAATTTTTTTCGCCCAACGATGATGGCGAGCAGAAGGTGGGGCGGTGGCAGGAAGGAAGGGACTGCGCCGGGGTTTATGAAAATAAGTGAAGAAAATTGATTTGAAGTACTTTGAAGTGCAAAAACGCGTAGCCAGAATCACTGAAGAATGCTTTGGCATATTATTTCGACTTTTTTTCGGGAGTCTCCTTGAAGCAGACAACTTTTGTTGCGATAAGCAAGTCGAGCAGAAGCGGCATGTTTATATAATATGAAAATGTATGCCAGCGGGGGGAATATTCGTACTGGTAGCAGATGCAACTGCATATCTGCTTATGTTTGAATAAAGTTGCGAGCCGAAATGGAAAAATAACTGAGTCCCAAAGCAATCTCGTTCGCCTGACGGACGACTTAAAGTTCGGCCGACAAGTTTAAGGCCCACATAAGCAGGTAAATTGCTTTCTAGGCTTAGCCTCAGACTCAGACAACAAAGGAGCTCGACGGCAAGTGTATAAATCGGCTAGAAAACAAGCGACTACCGACTGCCGTCTATCATTTCCTTTGGCAATTCGAGAGTGGCGACAAAAAGAAAACTTTACCTGCAGCCGGGTAAAAATTGTCAAAATATAAACCGCCGTTCCTGTAACTCGGTACTCTCGTTTATCAGCCAAGGAGCAGCAGTCCTCCTGGCTGGCTTCACTTTTTCCTTTTTCAATTCCAACATATATACGTTTTTTTCCTCGAAGGTTTCTGGCAAAGTGAAACGATTCACGCCGCCAACGCCTAGAAGTGTGCAACATTTTTTCGTTCCCCAGATCCTTGGCTTGCCGCTGCCAAATATATTCATTGCAAGATTTGTTGTCTGTGGGTGGAGAGCAGTTTGCATATGAGGCGAGTTTCCCTTCCTCCTCAGGATGTGTGTGGGAGAGACTTACGCTTGAATTGCAAATAGTTAGAAAAGATTTGCCATGATTTGGGCTGCCACTCTGCCCCCGGAATGCACTGAGTTGGAGATGAAGATGAAGAGATGGAAGATGGTAGATGGTAGATGGCAGATGGAAATGGAGTCCTGCCCCAGACCGCAATTCCTGGCTGCCTTTCAATTGCGAGGGACAGCAGGCAAATGTGTCTGCCGAGGCATGCCAGCGATTTGTGCTTACTGCATTTGGGCGGATCTCCTCAGAACTGCAGGACTCCAGGACTCACTAGCAATGATTAAATCGAGGCTGCCAGACATTGATGGCTTCATTTCATTTCTGTTGCTGATGCCGATGCTTCTTTTTCGGGGCGTTTTCATTTTGGGGCTGACTGACGTCTCTGTCGGTGCGAAGCGGCCATTTGGGGCATTAAATAAAATGTGAAACAATCAGAAATCAACGCATAACGCAAGCAAATAAAAATATAAAGTATTTGTGGCCAGTTGCCGTTAGCCATTTGGCCCAAACACACACACATAGCAGCAGTCGCATCCGCAGTCGACACACACACGCACACATATTAGTGTGCAATTTGGCCAAATGTCGCCAACGTGGCAGCCTGTCCTCCGTTCGAAAACTTTCACAATATTTCCGCAAAACAAATTGCGCGTAAAAATGGCAATGCAATTTTTGGTCGTTTGTTGCGGCGGCCGTTGGCCAACTGGACGCCACATTGCATCCACATTCACATATGTCCTTTGCCTGTGTGCTTGTGTGCGTGTCCTGGTCCATGTTTCTGTAATGTTTGCCCAATTGAATTTAATAATATTTTCATTTGGATTTCAGTTTAGTTTTTAGGTTCTAGGGGAGAATATTTTGCCAAGCTTTGGCGCAGTCCTGCTCGTGACATGTCCTTTCCCTGAAATGTTTTGTGCGTTCTGCGGCTGCCAGAATGGTCAATGGCCAAGGGATCCTAGATCCTGTTCCGAAGCTAATTGGGTTCGCGTGTTGTGCGGTTAATTGTGATTTCGATTCGAATTGCATTGCTGATTATTATGTTTTCTCCATCATTGGTCTGCCATGGCGAGAGTGTCTGCTGAATTTAAGTGGCCGGGCTCTGAAACTCCAACCTCCGAAAGCTGTAAAAAGCAAATCTCTCAGTGCCGAGCTTATCCCCAATCCTTGTCACGGACCAACTATCGCCTCAACAGCTCGTAAAACCAAAGCAGCAAATTAAACTCGAACCGTAAAAAGTACTCCTCCTCGAGTTTCCACCCCCTTTGCATTTCCTTGACCATTACTCTGACCATAAATACAATATTTGATAATTTTATTAACAATTTCGACTGTAAATTGTTTACGACTCGGCAGTGGCCGGTGGTCTGGTCAAAAGGGACGGGCGGGGAACACGAAACGAAAGAGCTTTTTAGGCGTCTGCCGGATTGGTGCACTTTTTGTGCTGCCACAGAGCAAAAGCAGATGAAATATTCATGTTCACCGACTATCTCCGTCTTATTCCCAATTCCCCAACCCCTTCTTCGACCCGGACTCGTAAATTAAATTTAGCTTTCCCCCCCTGAACATTCTGTTCAATCAAGCGCAAAAAACGCCGCAGACAGACAGTGCTGCTGCCTTATCCTGAGTATCCTGAGTATCCTTACTATCCCAGCAGTGGTTTAGTTTTTGTGCCATCGAGTGTGTATGTGCGTGTGCGAGAGGACTGTGATTTTAACTGCATTAGAGGCCCAGTCCTGGGTGCTGGATTCAATTTGTTGCAATGCTATGCTAAAAAGCTGAAATCAGGCGGCCAGCTGCAAGGATCTGCTGGCAGCCAGAGGTCCTTTTTGTGCAGCTTTTCGCATTAAATTTATGAAATTGTGCGCTTCCTCTTTTTCGGTCGTGTTCTCTCAAAACTCAATCATGCTTGCATGCAATATCCTGCCGCCTCCGCCTCGAGTCCTCTATCCTGTGTCCTGTGTCGTCCGCTGTCCGACGGTCCTGGCTCGTTGAGCCCAGCCCATTTGTTTGAGTAAGTCCCTTCTTGCCCCGCCTTTGACTCCTGGAGACATTTATACCCAACAATAACAACAATGTTGACACAAAAACACATTCAGGACCTTGGAGTCCTTTCGGAGAGTCCTCCTCGGAGTTCTCGAAAGTATGCAAGACAAATGCAGTCGAGCCGTGAAGCGAAATGGGGGGAAAGCAGAAAAGGAAGCAGCATTTAACTATGCTCTACCTATTTCAAACTTCTTGAGGCAAAATTGCCCTTAAACTTTTCTGTCACACATTCCAAGCATATCTTGGCCAAAGTCGCCTTGGGCACAATTCCAGCCTGTTGATTGCCCATTTAGCAGGCTCTTTTTCTTACTCGCTTGCAGAATCGATACCTTTTGGGTAAACCCATTAGAGTTTGCGCTTTGTTCCAAAGGATTCTCGTCGGGCGATCTGCTCGCGAAGCCTTTGACAAATTTGCAACCCCGTTGATTGCCTTATTAGGCCCTCTAGGAAGAGCTGAAGGATAGCAGCTGGACCGCCCATCTCCCTCCTCCCTTTTGAAAAAGAACTCTCGGCGAGTAATTGAATTAAATGGCTGGCGCTGTGGCAAAAAGCAAAGTAAATTAAATAAGTTTTTCATTTTGGCCGCGGCCAAGTTGCATTGTCAACGCCGTCGTCTGAGTCCTTCGTCCTCCGTCCTTCGTCCTGCTTTTTGCTTGCCCGCATTTTACGCTTCGCCGGCGGCCCTTTGTCGGGTCGCCTTTTTGGTGGACAGTGGAGGGGGGATCCCGGCCAGAATGCAATGAGCCAAAAGTTGTTTAATGTATGCATTGCCCTGCCCAACCAGCCAGCCTTCCAGTTCAGAGTTGCGGTTAACAGCGCGTCGCCGGGATCCAACTTTTCGGGGGCTTCGAGGGCAGAGGCAAAGTAACTTTTCGCATAGTACGTAAATTTCCGGATTTTTTGCGGACTCCGTTAATGCTGAGCATACTTTTAGGTAGCTTAGTGGCATTTACACTAATTTCGCCTGCGACTCCCACTGGCAATGGTGTGATTTATTTGCCGGAAAAGATTACTTACTCCGGGATGCGGTTTTCCATGCGGCGGTATCGAGGAAAAGCGCTTCTGAGCCACCATTTTGACATGACTCTCTGCTTCAGACAGCGAGCGGAATGGAAAGCTGAAAACGAATTTGTAATTAGTTTTACTGCCACTTTTGCCCGGTTGTACTTTGTTCTATTGAGAGTTTTTCGGGTTCAGTTCAGGTTTGTCTTTTAAGTGAAAATTAATTGGAAAACTCGTTGAGAACTCTCTCTCGCTCATTGTGACGAGTTTAGCATGCAAATGAAGGGTCTATCTGAGGACTTTATAGGTTAATTTATTGAAGACCGAAAAACTCTTTAAACAAGAATTTCCTGGAAGCCCGAGCCCGCGTTCGAAGAGGCTGAAAGGAGAACAACAAACGTTAATTGAAGTGCACTTCCTTTTAATTTTCGCCCAACAAATTACAGCATATCAACGGCATGCACGAGCAGCAGCAGCCGAGCGCCATAAACAAGCAGGTCCTTCGTCCTGCGCCGAGCACCGCTTCCTGTTCCTGCTTAATTTCATATTTCGAAACATGACACTTTCACACTTTGGCTAATTTAAAAGCATACAAAATGGTCGCTCGGCACACACGCACGAGCAGCGCAAGTTGGCTGCTGATGTTGATGTTGCCGCGCTTCCCCGTTTCGTGACGAATGTGCTTTGTTGCAGGATGGTGTTGCATGTGGCACATGGCACACATGGCTCACAAAAGGCGCGAGACAGGCACTCGGATTCGGATGGGAATGGCGGATGGGGTTTACGGATATGTGTGCAGCGATGTCGCTCGTTAAATTGTCGCCTGACACCTCGCTAATGTCATCATCATTGTGCCCACGACCACCAATGCCACTGCCAGGTTGCCAGTCGAGTCGAGTCTCAGCCACATTATTACTGTAATTATGTTGGCCGTGTAAACGTCATTAGGCGTTTTAGCCAGCAAAACGTGCTGGAAACAGAGTGCTGTTAAATCCCCTTTCTATCCTGTTGGCCAAAACTACTTTAGCCGCTCCATTGACCGCCTCTGAATCAATTTCACACATTCAAAAAGCTTAAATCCATTTACTCTTTGGCTTACTCTTTTACAAAAAAAAACAAAAGGCCATCCACCATCAACAGATGGTCCTGTGCAAAAAAGAGAAGAAATGTCCATTACCATTAGGTTGAAAATTTATGTGCCTGCATTTTGAATACATTTCCCTGTCGCGCGGCTTTAATTGATAGATAAAAATTGCTCACCATTAAACAAATGCTGGCCAGGCCTGCCCGGCATGGCCAATTCATTTAGCAATTAAAACAGGCTGCGGCCAAAACGAGTAAACGGAACAATATAAAAGCAAAAGGAAGAAAAGAGCAAACTATAAAATGCAAATCAGTTGCATATAAAAATATATATAATTCATTTGTTAAAACCATTTGCCGGCCATTTGCTGGCAGCGTTTTTTATGCGCTGCGGACAAGAAATATGTTGTCCTTTTAGGCGTTGACAAATCGGCGCTCACACTCGCGCCTAAAAGTATGCAACAAGCAAAAAGCGGCGCACAGCGGCAGATGCAAGGCCTGGAGCCAAAGGCACTGCCGCCGCAGCGAACGTGGCGAGGCGGGAATAATAATTTTTGGCACGACTGCCATGTTAACATGTCCCCAGACACGTACAGCTACCCATGCCACACCCCACCCAAATCCACACCCATTGAATTCGGTAAACGTTGCATACTTCCCGGCGCGAGTTTATTATGTTGGAGGGAGGGAATATGTGTCCTGGCTGCATTTCATCGCCCCTGTCCCGCGTTCCGTGTCCCGTGTCCCTGGGCTTACCGGCTGCCCCTGTGGCTTGTAGAACCATTAGTGAACACGGGTTACTGTGATTACCCCGGGTCGACCTCTCCCCATCCACCGACCCTCCCAAAATCCGACAGGTTCACCCTGGGAGCGTAGTCTTGGCGCAATTTCCATTCGCATTTGCATTTCGCATTGAAATATATAAATACGTGCGCGGCTTTTGGGGCGGCAGACAAATTACTTTTTAAATGCACTGTAAGCCCTTCAATTGTAATTGGCCGCCGTGCGGTCTGAAACTTTGCCAAAAAAGCCGAGGCAGAAGAGAAGGCAGCCCAGAATCGAAGAGAGAACTTTGAGTGGGCCGCATTAAAAAACAATAAAAAAATATTGGGCCGAGGAAAGGCTAAGGACTGTGGGCCCGTCGTCTAATGGCGTCACGTTTGTGCCGCCCCGAAAAGTGGCATGCAACATGCGATTGCTGCCAAAAGTGCCGCCTGGCACGAGTCCAGGACGAAGGACCTTCTCTGGTTAGTTGGCTTGTTAGTTGGCAGCCTGCTGCCTTCTGCCTGTTGCACTTCCACTTGCCACTGAGGCACGACTGCTATTGCTATTCGTTCTGGTTAGGCGTGCTGCCAACTCTTGCCATCCCTCTCCGGATCTCGGATCGAGTCCTTCCGAGGATGTGTCTGTGTGCCGTGTTGAATTTTTCATTTCATTTGGCGGCAGCAATTCACTTGAATGGGAATTTCGTGTCGTCGCAGTCGCATTCTCAGTCGCAGACGTTGTCGTCTTCGTCAAGCGGAAGCGGAAGTGAACAGGCCAAACAAGTGCACATATAGAGCACATAATAAACGTTCAAATTGACTGAATGACTACTGCCTTTGGCTGAACTCTCAGCATTTGGCTGGCCTGGCCCCATAATTCCCCCAGTGAGCCACACAAAATTTGTGTTATTTTTTTTCGGGCCAAGCTTTTTGGCCATCAGCCATCAGGCGGCCAGGCTGACATGAGCCGGGGATTATTAGACAATTAAATTGACGTTAATGAATTAATTTATGAGCTTCTGCGGCAGTCTTTGCCTGTTGCACAGATTTCTGTGTTCTTCCAGGGCAGAGACAATTAGGGCCACAGATTAGTTTCGGTTAATGAAGGTTTATCGCCTTCAATGGCAGGCAATTGAGGTTGAAACAAGCCTCATTCCAGCCCACCTCGCACTGCATTTTGATGGACTATTTTGGTGTTTAATCTGCCCTAAGCTTCGAGTACAAATAGCTTGTATGTACGCCTGAGATTGAAATTAATTTTCTAGCCATGCCGGGTCTCATGTTCAAGGCAGCTCATTAAAACTCATTACACGATCTGCGTAGCATCTCCAGGCTGAACGAGAGCAAACAGGAATAGTTTCGCCTTGGCCAGGACTCCCTTCCCCTTGCTCATGGCCTTTTGCATAATCTCGAGTTTCATATTTCATTAATTAAAATTATATCCAAGGCAGGGCAGATAGCCGTTATAGTTGAAGCACCTGTTCGGTTGTGGACTCATTAACAGCCCTCCCACACACATAACCAAGGAGTTGTGCAACACAATATCATTGTTGCTTTGATTAATGATTTGCACAAAATCATAAAAGCTTTTCTGCTTCCCTAAACCCTGCCCACCCACTCCATCCATCATCATCATCATCAGCAGCAGCGGCATCGGCATCAGCGGTAAAAAGGTTTCGCATTACAAAAAGCAGTCTTAATTAATACGAAACAGAATGTTACCGAATATTGAAAATGTCTATTCAATTCACATTGCCATACGTAAGTCGAAACCTCTCGAAGGAAAGGAAAGGAGCAGCGAGGGACGAGGGGGTAGGAACTACGTAATGTGAAGCCTGCCATTATTATGCTAATTAATTGACATCAAAAGCAAAGAAAATGGAAGAGCCCAGGCCTAGTGGCAGGTCTTTGTTGAACATATTTATATCAAAATCAATGACAGACGACAATAGAAAAGTCGGTGGGTGGGGGCCCATAAGCCGCTTTGAATAGAAATGCAAATTGAAGTGCGCGTATGCCAATTATTTTGATATATATTTTTCGTATATAATTATAATAAGATAATAATGAGCAGTCGAACAAAGGAAGCAGGTGCACAGTACAGTACAGCACAGTTCTTTGCCCAGGTACACAGGGCTGTCATCACAAAATAATGGCCTGTAATAGGATTTCCTGTTCCCGGGAGAGAGAACAAAATGGCGGCAGAGAAAGAAAAGCGGAAAAGCCGCCTATAAATATGCAATTTCGATTCAACTCTTGACTCCGTTCCTCTTATTTTCCAGGGAGCATCCTCCAGCCTGGTCGTCAAATACGCCGACACGGAGAAGGAGCGACAAATAAGGCGCATGCAGCAAATGGCCGGTCACATGAACCTGCTGAATCCATTTGTCTTTAATCAGTTCAGTCCGTACGGCGCCTACGCTCAGGTAAGTCCCCTCCCCCACGCCCGCCGCATTCACCCACCTATATGTAAAGCAGCTCCCCTCTCCCCCGGAATTGCAGCAGCAGCAGCAGGCCGCCTTGATGGCCGCCGCTGCCACGGCGCCCGGATCCGCGGCCGCCTACATGAACCCCATGGCGGCCCTGGCAACGCAGATACCTCATGGCCTCAACGGCACCGGTCAGCCCCCCTCGCTGCCCTCGCCGACCATGCCCAACTTCAACATGGGCGCCAACACGCCCAACGGACAGCCCGGCGGAGCGGCAGCGGCTGCAGCTGCGGCGGCCGCTGCGGACGGCGTCTTTACGAACGGCATTCCACAAACGGCATTCCCAGGACGTGAGTATATTCGATTATTAAAATAAAAAAATTATAAATACTTGTTCTAATATTTATAAGATACAGAAAACAAAATAATTTTCTAGAGTTTTAGAAATTTTTACTACAACTAAAATTTTGTATCTATTAAGAAAATAGATTATATACCTACATTAAACGAAAATTTCTTTCAAATTAAATAAAATGACAAATTTTGTGTTGATTCTAAAATTTCTAAAAATAATATTGAAAATTATAAGGATACAAAATAAAAACTCAGGCTTTTAATATTTTATTAAAAAGTTGTATTACAAAATGTAAGAAAGTTACCATTAAATCATCCAATATGATAAAGATAAATAAGTTGAATATTAAAAGACGTGTTTTATAAAACAATCGACAAAAAAATTAGAGGTAAAGTTTTATAACATTTTATAATAGAAATATATATAATTTTTATTGGTTAATCAACATATTTAAAAAAAATCGAGGTTTTAAATTTTGAACTCAAAATCAGTGCACAACTTCATTACAATTTACTTTAACTTTACAAAAACGCTTAGATTTTGGATGTCATATCTGTAGTTTGTGAAAAACTTTTAAGACTTTCTAAATATTTTCTATAGCCACTGAACTATTTCTTGCAGATCCACTGCACTTGACTATACCGCCACAAGGTTTGCCAAACGGCGATGCTGCTACCCTGCAACATGCCTTCCCTGGTCTGCCACCGTTTCCAGGAGTTGGTAAGTATTGGCTAGCTAGATCAGAATAAGTTGTATTCCTAAGTATTAGATCCAAGGCAATGGTGCCAGTGCACGACAGAAGCGAGAGACAATATTCGATTGCAATTTGCTTAATTTCCAAATATCATTGAGTCTCCATTCACCCAAATCACTAATTTTGCATTGTCATTCGAATCGCGTTCAGTTACACATTCAGCCCATAATCTGCATCGTTCATGGCATTGTGTACCATCTCATCACCACCATCGTTTTCATTATTAGCATCGGATTATGTTCCAATGAACCCAACCACAACAGCAAAAAACAGCCCAATCATTCATAACTGTTTTTATCGAATAATTAATAATTGTTGTGTCATGCCATAAATATTTATTGTTAGTAAAGTGTTACATAACTCTAATTTCTAAAAAATAAACTTGTCTTTATTAATTCATTGTGCAAAGGACTTGTTTTTATTTTATTAGTTTTCTATTATAATTATTTAAAATATTATTAGAAAATTTTATTTAAATCAGTGCGCTGATATGAAATCTACACAGAGAGAATTCTGACGTTCTCATCTGAGTTGAAAATGTTCTTAAAAATATAAATGCCCTTTTTAAGTTAAAAATGTTCTAAATGTGCTCGAATTAAGTTAAATTGGTTCTTAAAATCTAGTTGAGCCTAGAATGTTCTTGAAATAAGAACGAAATGTTATTATTTTAGCACAGGGTTCTTAAATCAAATCGATTTTGTTCTCAAAAACCACAATCCCTCAAAATGTTCTCAGTTTGAGAACGAAAAGGACTAAAGAATGAACAAAAATTAAGTTGCATTTCAACTTAAAGTGATTCAAAACTCTATTCTCTAATTTTTATGGATTTCCTAGAAAGCGTTAGGATGTTTTCGTTTGACACCTAGCACGCATTAGGCCATTTTCCTTTGCTCCAATACGACCTTACCATTAGATTTGCCCTTTTCGTCTTATTTATAATTCCCAACTGGGTCTAGCCCTTCATGAACCAAGGCCAAGTCAGATATTGAGACTTAAAGACTTTTTTCTGGCTTCAGCCTTTAATAAACTTCCGCACCTTTATAAGGTGTAGGATGAAGTTACTTTTGGAAAAGGTAATTGGACAACTACCTTAATATTACATATAAATTACTTTTGATCCTAAATGACTCTTATCTTTAGCTAAAATTAAATTCAAAATGCTATAGAATTGAGAGCCAAATGTTCTGAAAATATAACAAATGAACTTATTTTTGTATCCATTTGATTTAAAAATGTTCTTGAATTAAGGACAAAATCAACTTGAAAAAAGAACGAAATGAACTCAATGTCGGATTATTAGCTAACACCATTTCGTTCTGATGTTGAGAACATTCAACTCGAAATGAGAACATTTGTGCTTACCCGGTTTTTAAGAACGAATGTTCTTGATTTGAGTGCAATGTTCTTAGTTTTTTTTCTCTGTGTACGATTCAGTAATCAGCGTATTGCTCTAACCCCATTCTGAAATCCAGTCGATCTACTATGGCTGGTTAGCGACATTCAGTTTGATTCTTTAGAAATTTGTTTCATTGTCTGTTGATTACTAAAATATGAGAACTATTTTAAAAACTTAAAATAAAATATACATATATTTATACGTATTCTTAATTGTTGTGTTGTCTTTATAAATGTTTCGGAATTTGTGTAAAAACCAAAAACAAAATTATTTATATATAATGCAGCCTTTCCCGCCGTCTATGGACAGTTTCCACAAGCTTTACCACCTCCCCTAGCGGCGGTTGCACCCACTCAGCGTGAAGGTAAGCTTTTCATTATGATTTCCTTGATAACCGATTCTCCCGAATCCCCCATTTCCCCGAAATACACGTTCGTACGTTTGTTTTAGTTCTTGTTAAGCGAAATTGCATTTGACCTTTTTTCAATATCGAATGATTTCGGGCAAATGCAAGTACTTATCTGTTTACATTGTACATGTTTCTCCCGATTCAGAATTTTGTTCGATTCTTTGTCATCGTAAACATACATACACACACACGCCTATACACTTACACACGAACGGTCAGCACTGAGAGAAAAAATCCGAGATATCTTTCGATCTAACCGACGATGAGCAGTAATTAATTTTATTTGTTGTGCGGAAGGAAATTAAATTTAAAACAAAAGCTCATAAAAATTAATTACTTTGCATACTGCGCTTCTTTCGGTCTTATTTTATTTTGATAAACATTTTATCCCTTTTGCCACCACCACCGCCCCCTGCCAAAAAGTAGAAAGGACGCTTTTCCGGAATGGAATGGGCTTTCAACCCTTTTGTATGGGGTTGGCGAGCAAGGCGTAAATCGTTTTTAATGGCTGCATTCAACGGCATTTTATGCGATCGTAAAAATTACATATAAACTGCTTAAAATCATATAAAGACCGTCGGCGTATTTCGAAGACATTTGCTCATAAAATTTTATGTTTCTTTTTCGGTTCGTTTTGCTCATCTTTTGCCTTTCGCCAGGGACAGAGACACAAGTAATCCATTGTCTCCCCGTAAAACAGAGTGTGTGGGTGTGGTTGTATCGCTCTGTGTATGTGTGTGTGTGTATGTGTCATATTCATTTGTATTCGTGTGTGTATACTACCTATATGCTAACTATAAACCTAACTTGAGTGTAAAGTTCGTTTGGTTTAATTTCGATATCTGTGCGCCGTAGTCTGTTGTTCTTCTGTGTGTATCCTCTAGACCTTACCTGCATGATATACACCCAGTCACACACAGCCATCTAAGTGTGGATCCCATATAATACCTACACATACTTCACATGAATATCATAAGGAAATTGGGGCTAGAGATAAGCTAAAGACATAAGTATTCATTAGGCATCTCTAGAGTATATGCATAGAAACCCTTAAAAACAGTATGTCATTTAGACTGTTCGTTTGCTCATGGTTTTGGTTTTGGTTTCCTATTTTCCGCAGACTTAAATTGCGCCCTTAGTTTTAGTTGATTCGTCCAGAAACAGAAACAGAAACAAGATCAGCCACAGAACACAGACCACAAATAAGAAGTCGATCAGACCAAGTCAAACCAAACTAAACTGAACTAAACTAAATCGAAATCAATGCAAACAAAACAAGAACAAGCAAGCAGACATAACTCATAAATTATAAATTATGATTTTCCTCATTATTAAATTTAATTTGTTCTCTACTTTGTTTCTTCTCTTTAAAATGTCTTCCTTTAAGATTTTCTGATGTTCCCAGGATGTTCGATATCCGGACCCGAGGGCTGCAATCTCTTCATCTACCATTTGCCCCAAGAGTTTGGCGACGCCGAGTTAATGCAAATGTTCCTGCCCTTTGGCAATGTGATCAGCTCCAAGGTCTTCATCGATCGTGCTACAAACCAGAGCAAATGTTTCGGTAGTGTGACAGAGCTTTTTTGCTGATCTCTTGAATTATCCTACTAAAATGATTACTCTCTCTCTCGACAGGTTTTGTTTCATTCGATAATCCCGCCAGCGCTCAAGCGGCCATTCAGGCCATGAATGGCTTCCAGATTGGCATGAAAAGACTGAAAGTTCAATTGAAGCGGCCAAAGGATGCCAGTCGACCCTATTAACAATCGGAGTTCCTTAAACGCAATTCACAACAACCAACTGGAGCAACAACATCAGCAACAGCAGCTTTGCCAACAACTACAGCATTTTCCGCAGCCACGCCCACATCAGCGGTAACCTCCGCATCAGCGACAGCAACAACAACGGCCCACTATAATAACCTTGGCAGCAGCTTTAGGCCAACTCTACCCACTGAAAGCTCCACCCACAATGCCCACATGCCCTACACATTTGCCAGCTGGCGCAGCGGTACCTACTGCTATCGCAACAACAACAACAATAATAACGACAACTGCAGCGACAACAACAACATCAACAAAAGCGATCCCGAGTCTCAGTCCCAAAACGATCAACCACCCAATACCAATTGCTCCAAAGTGGAACTGGTCGAGAGACTTTTCATGTGGCAACAGCAAAAGCGAAAGGCCTGATTGCAACATCAACGGCAACCACAACAGCAACCATAACAACTGCAGCTACAATAAGGAGCAACTATTGATGGGGTGAGCAAAAAAGCATCGATAGCAAATTGATATTCTAGGCGAATTACGATTTCAAAACTTATACGTGAATAGTCAATTTTCAGTTTAGATACATCGAACATGTTTCTTAAAATGTAGTCGATATGATATCGAATTTATCAAAATAGGTAGATTATTACCAAACTTATCGATACATGTTTCGATTTTAGTAACGATTTTTTGATAACTTTTCTGTTTGATATACGTTGATCCCTACTTAAGACATACTTACTCATGATATCGCCCTTCTTCCATTTCAGATGGTCGTCAGCCATGCTATGTGAAAACGATTATAGAAATTAAATACATGCAAAGTGTATATAAAAAAAAAAATAAAAAATAGTAAACAAGAAAATGTAAATTAAAAAAAGAAAACACCTTAGAGCTGAAAAATTGAATAGATTTATATATATAATATATTTATATATATTTATCCGATTATACATTCAACTGAATGCAGTACAGCAGTACATACAAAATAATAAGAGAAACCCAAACAAACAAAAAACAAACCACAAACAAAATTATAAAATTTAGAAAAAACAGAAAGAATGACAGAATTTTTGCCAAAATATCGATTTAATAAAAGTATATATTTATAGAAGCAAGGAACAAACATTGATATTGATAGTTTTGTTAACAACTAAAGAACAAGAACATTGCACACCAGTACACTCCCACACAGAACACAAAACTTGAGACAAAAACTGACTGGCAAGAGACCAAAATTATCTGGGTTTTCAAATAAATAAAAAAAAACAAAAACAATTAAGGACGATAAGAGCAGCAACCATTTTATATGAGAAATTGGTGATGGGAATTTATAAAAATTAACTAATCTGCGCAAGGAAAATTAGTTGAAAAACAAAGCAAACACAAAAGAACAACTATTAAAACTGAATTTGTTAAACTAATGATAAACTCGATCGGAGTTTACAGTTAATCGAGTAATTAGACGACGGCAGTTAAAGGAAAGGGTTAAAATATAGAAGGGACATAGAGGAAGTTAGGTGAGAAAGAAGACAAAGTAGGTCTGCAACTTTTTAGCATTTAGTGGTAAGCAAAAGGCAAGATTAAACAGATGCATAAACAGATTATATGTACACATGAAAAATTAACACAAAAATTCGAATTTAATTAATTTTAAGTAAAACAAAACGGATATAGGAAGTTAGAAATAGACGGGAAAGAGCGAGCCACTTAATATGCGACATGCTTTGAGGGCTACGTCCGACCCGAAAGGGTTTGACCAGCCTGACCACAAGCAAAAATATCATTTTTTATAATACATAAATGAGTACTAATTTTAGAAATATTATAATATGGATTTGTTAGAACTATTGAAGAGAATCAAAGTGAAGAAAGCTAAAAAAAATTAAAAGATTAAAAAAATACAATATCTACAGCGATCATTTATGTTGGCCTATATTCTCTGAGGGAGAAAATTCTTGTAATTGTTTAAACTTCTCAACTTGTTTGATTCGATACCCTTTGGTTTACAATTTTATTCAAAGAAATCGTAAACGATTTTATAGAATAATAAACTAAATTTTGAATAAAATCAAACAACAACTTTACACTTAAACTTAGCTGCTTTCAACAAAAACAATTACAGGTACTTACAGATATACATGCATATATATATATATATACATAGAAATATATAATAAAATCGAGAAAAAGCAAAAAGTAAATAAAAACACAAAGAAAAGAAAAGGAAATATAAATAGGGCTACTGAAAAAATGAAAACATAAAAAACATTTTGCTATGGAAGTATTACTATAAAAATATATACAAAATAGATATACAGAACAGCAGAAAACTGAAAGTTTTGGCCACTTATTTTCACATCCAGCTCCGAGAAAGATACCGATACAGCTAAAGAATCAGATTCCGATCAAGTTGACCATAGCGCGCCCTAGCCAGACTAAGCAAACTATTTAACACTAAGCATATATTAATTATTATTGATTGTTATTATAAACAAAAAAATTATCAGAACTTTTATCACACTCAAAAAGAAAGCAAGTATTTTTTAGCAAAACTAGAGAATTTATCACGGCCTATTAAATTCATTCTATAATTTTTTTTTCGTTTGTACACACTGACATAGGACGACACAATACCCCAGCACACCTACACTGAAATCTAACTAAATATTATTGTCAATAAAGAAACGTAAAAATGAGATCTTTATCCGACATTTACTCAACTGTCTGTTGAATCAAATCATTAACAATTTAGCAGCAAAATCTGTACAAAAGCAAGAATACGAAGAGGAGAAGGACCGAAGAGTCAAATCTACAGCTAAATATGCCAAAAAATAAGATTATGGATAGTGAAAGGATAAAGAATGGAGAATGGAAGATGGAAGAAAATTAACAATTATTTAGAGTTTGTATAGTGAAAATGATAAGTTTAGAGTCGCCTAGTCTGTGGGTCCTGCAGACGAATCCTCATCTGCGGGACGTATTTGATACGAAAGATATAAAATTTAAATATTACCAAATACAAATATAAAAAATATAAGAAATATTTAAATATGAAAAGAAAATTGTTATCAGAGTTAAAGTTAATTTTGTTACCAGTGCAATAAATACTTTGGTGCAGATACTTATGGGTTCCCTCTTAACCAATATCAATTTCCATTTTAGTTACAGTTTACATTTACTTTGTGAGTATTGCCAGTCGGATCACTGGGACAGTATTAGAAATCTGGCCGAAGGTTTATGGGCCAGAGTAAGGGGAAATATTATATTCAAGGTCAAATCGATTTAATCTGTTTAATTTTTTCATATTTTGAATCACAAAATGTTAGCCTCGTCAGGAGTAATATTGTAAATATAGAAAATGAAAACTAAGGCGGATGAAAGTCCCACACTGAGAAGAAACGAATGAAAATGGCAGTTATTTAACGACACATGCATACAAGTATAATTATATACATACCTACAAACATACAAGTACATAACATATATAAAAATTATCAAACTGATTTTAGCGCCTATTCAAAAGTAGTTCAGCCAGAGACACCCAAGAATTTTGACAGCTTTGAATTAAAATGCTAAACTAGAATTTTACTTCGGAAAAACTCATCCAAATACACGGACACACTACATGTATTTACGATCTTGTATGAATCGATCTAGTCAAATTCAAGTTAATTATTGCATAAAGAAAATTAAACCTTAATGATGAATAAGAAATATAAAAAAACCAAGTCAAACTATTGAGATAATAATAATTTACTATTATTATGTACTATGATTATGATTAACAAATTATGATTTATTTATGTATTGAAAATACGAACACAAGTATTTAAATTAATATATAAAATTATTATTACAATTATTATTATTATTATATGCTATTATACAAACATTTTTAGATCATATACACTATACTATAAAACATACGGAATCAAGCAAAATAATACATTTTGTGCTAAACTGATTTTGGCAAAATTATGCAAATTATATACCAAGAGGAAGGATACTAAACCCTAAATTATCGTAACTATTATTTCTAAAGCATAACACACAATAAACTAAACTAAACCAAGAGAAGCAGAACAAATAAAAGAGAAAACAAATTGAAAAACAAAAATACAAAGCAACCAAACTTGTTTTATTTTCTCATTATTTTCCGCGTCTGTGACATCCGGCTTTTGATTAATTTCAATTGGCAGATACCAGGACAGACTAGGTCACAAACCCAAGAACACACTATCCCAACCCGCAACAGAGGACTGAGAATTTGGCATACTCCCCTACCCCCCCAATTAAATTTCTTTTACCCACGTTCTCCCTTAAATATCGTTTGATAAACTAAAAACAAAAAACAAAAACACGAAAAGGGCTGTGACACGAACGTTTAACAAAAAGTGTGAACAAAATCAAATTTATTTATCGTTTGCGCTTAGTTTGATTTTAATGATAATTTTAAAGAGCGGTGATAACAAGAAACCACTAAAGCCAAATCAAAATTAAATCGATAAACGAATAAAAATACAATATAAACGAACAATTAAGTCGCTTAATTCAAATTCGAAATGAAATGTGATGAAAGCAAAAAAACAAGAAAGCTAAATAAATAATAAACAAAAAAACATGTCGAATTCATATTAAACATTAACGAATAGAAAAAGACAATTGTACCTTGAGCATGAAGTGTAAAAATTGGAACTCGTAAAAATTAAAGTATTCCTAGAAATAAACCATAGATAACAACCACATTAACTAAAAATGGACAGGTTTCGCCCATCTGCTTGAGGGAAAATGAAAATTGGCACATTTCTTTGCAAGTTTTGCCAAAATCCAGTTTAGTGCCAGAAAATTCCTTTTAAGCTACAATCTGCATTTAGCGTCGTCATACTCCGCGTTTTCACTGTCTCTCAATTATACGCACACACACAACGAACTCACCACCACATACACACGCATCATATCAAATTCGCGGATATGCGAACCGTAGTCTATAACTTGGCAGTCTTCTCGGCGATTCTCAAGTTGTTCAGCTAACGGCGAAGAGATATGAAATCGAAGGGACCCCATTGGCATTGCATTTCCTCCTGAGTTGTTCGATTCTTTAATATTTCCATTTCCGTTCGTAGCCAGCTAAGTGTAGCGCTAAACTAAGAATAAGCATTGTACATTACTAATGAAAATGAAGTCTCTTATCGATGATCGTTCCTTAAACTTAATCTATATGCGAATAGATTTTGTCCTACGCATAGTGTATTTTTATTATACAAAATGCGGAATGCGGCATTCTTATAGAATGTTTATTACTCTATACAAAGCATTACTAATAAAAACTAACTTCTTTATTTATTATATATACTATACACAAATATATTATAAACTAGTTAATGACAAGGTTAGACAAAGTAGTGAATGAAGCTTACGACACTGACACGGAAACAAAAGAACATGAACAAACAAGAAGAACAACCAAAAACACTGGAGTCCAAGTTTAGAACTTACTAATCAAAAATATATTTAGATACACTTTTCTGCAGGTATTTAAAAGAAAGTAAAAGTAAAGGTAAAACTAAACTAAAGCTAACGATAACGATAAATAACGATAGAGACAAGCACTTAACCCCACCATAACCAAGGACTTACCAAAATTGCATACACTAGTTTTCTAACTACACCTACAAGGACACCCAATCAACACTCCAACTAACACACAGACACAGTTACAAGGGCCCAAAAAGGCGAAAGGACGAAGGATATATGTAGTGTAGGATTGATCGGAAGGAAGGAAAGGATAGGGTGCATATCTTTTTGCCAAGCCTAAAACATTTTGCCTTTAATATTTATAACGCGTTTTGGTTTGGTTTTAATAGGAACACAAGAATGACATATTGGATACAGGGTAATACATGCAGTTAAATCTAAATACTTAGTAAACTAAACTTATCGAATAACTATGATAATTTCGTATTGATACCGAACCATTTCAATTCATTTGTACTATAATTTCCCCCAAAGCTTTCGCACTCTTTTCAATACGATATTTTTAAGCTCGAGACACACTTTTGAAGCTTTGCTTACCAAATAGATTTCGCTTGGATAGGCATAGGGTTAGATCCTTAGAGTATCATCAACCATGGGCATAGTTGGGACAAGGAAAGGCAGTAGTAGCCATAGGAATATAACAAAACCAGCAACAATAATTGGCGGCGCTTGTAAGAAAGCTCAGAAAGTGCATTTAAAAAACAACAAAAATATGAAAACAAAATGAGAGGAAAGGAGAAATTTAAACATTTTTAACAGCAGAAACTAGTCGTACTTATATAGACGATATATTATAATACTATTATTATGACAATTATTACTATTACTATGAACAAAGAAAGATTTATTAGCGAGCTAAGGTCAACCAGGCATTATAAACCAATTTTGCAATTATACAAACCGAATCGGATGGAATGAGATGGGAGGAATAAGTGTATGGCTGGAGATATTGGCGTTGAAAAGGCCCAAAGTTATTTTTTGTAGATAAAACTGTTATCTTTTAGTACTTAGCCAAATGTTAGATCGAGGTACGAGATACAAAGATATAACTCAAGTAGTTGGCAGCAGGCTAATCGAATAAACCAAATGGTCAAAGCGAATTTATATTGTATATAGTATAAAATCCCTCAACAGAAACCCGAACCAGAGGGCTGAATTATTGCATATTATTGAAAAACAAAAATAGTTGCTAGTCTAGATTTTAGCATCAACACATCAGCAGAACACACACTTATGTACACTTGGTATTTTTTGAGAGTAGCTTGAGATGCGTTTAAGAAACTATTTCTCAGATGCAGTACCACAGCTACCGCTTCTTTGTACACTCTATATGCTTTTCGTTTAGAAATCCGTCCGTATTTAGCATTATGCAATCACACAAACACTTACACACACGAGAGCAACGGCATGTGGTTTAATTTCGGTAACTTAGCCTCAACTTAAAATGATTTGCTATTGCCCAAGATCTATGTAATTACATTCGTCTTTTCCGATCCCAAGAACAAGCCCACACAAATACAATTACTTAGCAACGATTACATCAATCCATTATTTGAGATTTTTGAAGAGCACCTTTAACGAAAACAATAAGAAATTAGCAGCAAAATGTGAATGAGAAAAACACAAACGAAAACTAAAATAAAAACCTAACATTAAAATTCAACAAATGACATTTAAAATTAAGAGAACTTGCACTTAATATTAGTAGCATAAATGTAAAAACAGAAAATGCAGATAAAGAATTCTTATTAATTTAATTTGAAGCAAGGCAAATTCCAAAAAAGGCAAATACAAAGCATGCTTTTACACCCGAAACGATTCGTGATCAGTTCCTTTAAAATCTGTCAAGAGGAATTTCGAATTCAAAAGTGAAAGAGAAACAAATCCAAACGAGACGAAATCAAGAATAACAACACATGAAGTAAATGTTAAACGTAAAATGGTTTCAGAATCAAAAAGAATTAAATATAAATAGAGCATAAACAGGATCACTGACACTGTGAGCCCGGAACAGTTCAGGAGTTTTTCTCTAGTCTTTCATTGACTTTGATTTGAATTCCGACATCGAATGCACTTTGTACACAAATCGAGCATTTCTCACTTCACACATTTTCTCAACTACATCACAAAGGAAACGGAAATAGGGGCAGAAACATGCACACAGCTATTACACGCATACTCACATATATTAAATATGACAAAATTTATATTTACACACATAAAATGCCGAACTAACGAGAAAAACGAGAAAGATGCTAAAGATGTAATAGTCAAAAGTAGTTGATCGAAACAGAAGAACAGACGTGAAGAACAATTAAGTAAATCATTTATAATAGCAACAAAAAAGGTCTTTATATAACTATTTATAGAAATATACGCTATATACTATACATATATGTACATTAAATACAATCTATGAATAATGAAACCAAAATGGCGAAGTGTGTAAAATTGTGCATTCGTTCATTAAAACAAAGGATGAAAGTAAACACCGAAAAAACAATACAGATATATATCTATATATACTCAATCGGCCTTTTCCGCGCTGTTTTGACACGCGGAAAGCGGCTGGAAGCCCACAACACAAGTAAATGCTATCGAACAAGAAAACTATTAATTAATTATGGACAAAACTATAAATATTTTAATACTTAAAGCATTATTAACAGAAGTATATTTTAACATTATTTATGCGACTTACTGCAGGATACAACATAAATAAACCCAGCATAATAATAGATGAGTACATACTACAGTAACAATAACTACCGATTGATTGAAGAGCCGCCACCATTCTAGACACACCATCCCACACAGGTTAATTTTCGACCGATTTGTTTCCCTAAGGCTGCTAAATTCCGGTAAAACCCTGAACCAACCAACCATGAACACAGAAAAAGATGCAGTAGGAGCAGAAGCAGATTAGTTAGATGCAGATTGCAGATCGCGGCGAGGGGCTAACAATAAGGAGAGACGGAGGTATAAGTCGTAGTAACGGAAATATCAAACACCCTAGTATTAATTATGGCCAGTTTCAAAATATGGGCGAGCAGTGTACATTTTGTTTCGTTTGCCAAAAAACTGGGCGTCGCTGATGGGCGACATTGATTATAAGAATGATAAGGAGTCGGGGACATATAGTAAACGAGGAGCAGGAAATTGCATATAGAGAACGGTGGGAGATTATAAACCAAGTTATAATTACAACAATTAAATTATTATTAATAATAATTATTATACACAAAAACTTATGCAAATGTGTAATAGGTATATAAACAAAGAACAACTGGCAAGTTAAATAAAACAAAACAAAAAAATTATGAAAAAAATAAACAAAAAAATAAACAAAAAACCACAAACCACAAAAAATGCAGAAATATATATTATATATACTTTATAGACATTTAAACATGAAAACAAAACACAAAGAAGAAACTAAAAAATAAAGTTGCAAATAATAAACTTTTACCATAAAAATATCATTCAGCCGCTCGTTTCTTATTTCGCATTATTCTCGTTCTTATTCCACCGATATGGCAGGCCTGTCTTGAAAATATTGGCCACCTGGCCAAATGGCTAGCAGAACGAATGCGAATCTGATTTGAATGGAAGCCGAACCAAGCGGCAGTTCGCATTTTTGAAGCTCCGCATTTGCATATTCTACCGCGAGTTCTAACCGGCTGATTTTCGTACAATAAAATCAGACTTCGACGAAGAAATTATGATCATAGTGAAGTGAGCCAATCCCAAGGGAATAGCTTTCGATTTCGGCGCGTGAAGAGTGAACTTGAGGCAAGGCCAGGCCAAAGACTCGGTCGGTCGGATAGAATTCGCAACCGACATGGCCAACAAACCGAGGAGCGTGGGCGATTGAAGTGGCAGTTATGGCCATAAATACAAATATGTACGTTCGCGTAAGCAGGTATTGACTGTGAGTGTCGCTCGATAAACATGCTAGCAGATATCAGAAGCAGCAGCAGCAACAGCAGCAGTCGCACAGTCGCAGCTGCCGAATAGATGTGCAATATTCAAGAGCTCCGCTCCGGATCCGTAGGTTGGACGCCGCTGGCCGACCGGTGATGTAAGCTCCGGTTCTGGGTTGCCGCTCACCGATTACCGCTCGTCTAACCGCCGTCTAAGCCAACTGTAGAATGTAAAGCTTCTGCAGGTCGCGAAAAACTCGCCCACCCACTGCCAGCGGCCGAGCGTCATCATCGCTGCACAGTGATCTCTGCGAAGTTCGGTCTTGCACGCGATGCGAAGCAGTCGCAAGGCGATCGACGGGGAATGCCATTCTTTCCGGCTGAAAGCGGGTAGGTATTACCGAGTGATGTGATCAATAAGGCACCTTATCGCCTCCGGGCAGCCAAATGAGTCGCTTGAAGAACACTGCCCCAAAAGGCGTGTTTTTGCTTTTGGCCAGTGGCTGTCGCATTGTGCCTTGCATTCTGATGTTCCCAGTATCGTCAGCAGTGGCTTCGGATTGCGCAGCAGAGAAAGTGATTAGAGGTGACTTAACCCACTACTGGGCTGAAGAGCCCATGACCTACTGTAACAATGCTGTCAGCAATTCACCAATTTGGGATAAATAAAAACATGACAGCAACAAGATTTTACCAAAGCAATGGCGTCACACTTGTTTGAATGTTATTATACATAAATTATTTAAGTAAAATTGAGAAAGCAAGTCATTTCTTATCAATCATGGTTGTCGCGACAATAAATAAATGGAGTGAATCATTTGTAAGTGGATTTGTGATTTTAGGGCAACATTTTTTTATTGATATAATTTGGCCTGTTTTTTTTTTTGTTGGTAATATATTGATTAATATAAATTACATTTTGAGAATCTAGTTGTTTAGTCTTGTTTTTAGTTTTTGAGAATTTATTTAGATTTAAACATGGTATCTAAGGGTTTGTTACAATCAGGAATGGATCTGCCCGAAAATCTCTTTGTTACTAAAAGCCCCAATTTGAATTCATTACCGAAACTTTCGATTTGATGTAAATATACTTAGATATATGATTAATTTCGATTCCTAGCGCTCTTTGATAAAATATAAATGTTTCTTAAAAAATTTAAAACTAAATTTAAATTTAAAAAATTTTTAATTTTTTGAAAAATAATTGCGTTTTAACTAACTTGAATTCGAATGCTAAGAATTGCATATAATCTGACGTCTAGAAATAATCATAAGTCTATCATGAGAGTTAGCACTTAAGGGGTTATATACCTTTTTTGAGCGAAAAAATTGAGGGAACTTTGGATTTTTTTTTGGTGTGTAGCAATTATTTTATGACAGTGAAGTTATTATTTATTGATAGTACATGTTTTTATCGAAACAACAAGCCTTTGTTCTTGAAAAAATATGAATAATTTACGAAGTTATGGCAATTCTTTCGGAACCCTTTTTTTTTTATAGCGGCTTGCGGTGACCACGATGGAAGTCAAGCAGGTCAACTGATATCAAAAAACCAAAAATTTTTAGTTAGTATAGTATTTTTTCCAGTTCGTGAACGATTACTTTTAAAAATATTTCCTTTTATCTGCATACAGTAACAATTTTTCCAAAAAGTTGATTTTTCAAGTTCTAAAAATTTTATTAAAAAATTCTGATCTGCGAAATTAAAATTGACGCATAAAAACTGAATCGTTCACGAACTCGGCACAATCATTACGAATAATTTAAAAAAAAATTGAAGAAGATCGATCAAATAGTTCTTGCGCAATCGTGGTCACAGCGAAGGCACTTTTGGAAAAACACGACTTTGAGATAATCGCATTCAAAGTTTTACGTTGACGTTGCAACTATTGAAGTCGAGCGCGTCAAAACGCTGTTTTCCTATCGAACTATTATTCGGATCTGTATGAAAATTTGGGAAGATGTTCTCTAGAGGATATACTTTAAGATTCAGCAAAAAAAAAAATTTCGTTTTTTTGAAAAAAAAAAAAGGTATATAACCCCTTAAATGATGTGATTTAAAACTATAAGACTTAAAAACCAAAAAAACTTTTAAATATTTTCTTAGACATTCCGACCAATTAGTTGATCCTTTCTCGCTGTGTACCCACTCCAGGTAGAACCGGAGATGACCTATATTGCCATGTGCTCTGCCCGAAATAGAGGAATCGCCTCGATCCGTTGTCTATTTCGGGAGGTGTTTTTCTCTTACTTTCCTTTCCTTGCCCAAAAAATCATAATCCGAAAGAGGCGCAGGCGATTCTTAGTTGCCCTAACCCGAAGTATTATAGCAAGGTGCTATAAATAAAACGCCATCAAAACTGAGCGAACGCATATACGCATAGCCACCGAGAAAGAGAGCTAGGTGGTGAGGTGATCGACCAGGTGATACCCTCTGTGTGATTTGGGGAAAACTGCTCCCATTGCAGCCGAGAACCTAAACGGAACCAATTTGTTTTCACCCTGATCTGCTGATACAATAAACAAGTTGGCGCACAAACAACCCATGAATGAAAAACAGCGAAAAATACGCTTTTTTTGAAAATTCTTTCTTCTTTTTGGCTGCCGCATTCTGCGTAGTGTTGTGTTGGATTGGCTGATGTTTGTCCGATCGGCCGGAGGGGAGGGGAGGGGCTGTTGGTCTTCTATATGGCCGGCAACAAGTTGGATTTTTCTAAAAATGAACACTCACGAAATAGCTTCGTCTTTGGCGTTAAATGCGGACCACGACATCCATCGGTGTCGAGCAGCGACAACGCATCTCAGCCGAAGAGCGGCGGAATTTGATTTGATTTTCTTCTTTTTTCACTTGGCCCGCTCGCCGTCCGATTTTCCTCTATTGTGTGTGGGGCGTGCTCTCCCCAGCGGTCCATCTAAGGAGCATATTCCGAAGAAGCGATGCTTTCCGCGACTCGGCTTTCCCGCAACTAGTTGCGTTTTGGATGTCAACACGATGTACACGCGCACAGCGGCGATTTTGGTCGGAAAACTGCCACTGGCAGCGTGAAGTGATCTGTGGACTGTGGACCCTGACGACCCGGAGCTTATCCAGCTGGGATTGCCCGGACATCTTGAGCCAAGACTGAATTGAAGAGGGCACCCGAAAGATACTCATATTTATCCGGGGCACCTTACACCATACCAACGACCGAGGTAATAGCAACTCCCTAATAGCAACTCCCTAATAGCAACTCAACGATATCCGACCACTGGATACCCTAGTCAGCCATTTAGACCTTTTATGGGCATGCTTTTGGCCCAGGGAATCGAATTTCATGCACAAAAACAACATTTCGGTTTCGGAGCGAAGATCGCGATGCGTTTGTGTGTGTTTCGCGGAGAGAGCGCCACTTGCCAGTTCCTCGTAGACATTTAAATAGAATTCCCGTGCTGGCCACCGATCGAGAGAGAGATCCTCCGTTTCTCTGTCCCTCCTCCTCCCCTGCCGGCGATCATCAAAATAACAACACAAACCGAGGCAGAAACGTGTGCTTCTCACGTCGCGTATACGCAACGTATTCCTTCGATTCATATTTACCTCAAACTTGACTGTGACTTCGTTTATGCTGTGAGAATCATGATGTTTTGAGAGCGCGTTATGAAAGTATCTCCTGTTTATGCGACTGTTGAGGTGAGATAAAGCCGATTAGTCACCGCAGATAAATTAATTATAAATTAAATTATAATTATAAATTAGTTATGTTAGCTGTGGTTTACCAACTCATGCATTAAGACTATAAATTCAGTCTTAATGCATGCAACTTTCGTGTGTTTTCAAAATCATGATATGGCTCGCATAAATACAGTACGTGTTTTAATTAGGATGGCTGTTGGATATACTCAATGGATTCCATTGTTTTAAAATTCTAAACTCACATTCACTAATAACTCGGATCTCTCAACTTTTAATATTCTTATTTTTACCACTATTTCTTTTCTTTTTAATTTTGTTCATGATAAATGCTACGTATAAGCAACCTCCAGTCATTTACGACCATTTCCTTTTTTTTGGAAAAACTGGCATTGCGTATACGCCGCATACTCCAATGATATTCCAACTAACTACTTTCCCTCTCAATTCCCTTTCAGCCAGAACCAGGATGCAGGAACTGACGCGAGTCTGCGACCTGAACGGCAGTGCTGGCAAAGCAGAGTTGGTGTCCGTTGCTCCGGCCACCAGCAATCTCGACCAGCTGCTGCCCAACATAAAGTTGGAGCACGACCCCGACCTGGAGGGCTGGCTGCCCACGCCCACGCCGGAGCACCCACAACTGCGGCTGGACCTCAACAGCACCCGGCTGCTGCTGCAGGGCTCCGACGACCCGCTGATCTCGCACGGCGCCACCAGCGATGCCCACGACGAGGACCATCCCTTCAAGACGCTGCTGGCCCGGAAAAGCGCCGTCCACGAGACGCCGCACAACGGCACCTGCAGTCCGCTGACCAAGCAGCAGCTGAAGGCCAACCTGCTGATGGGCAGCCGCAAGGCAAGGCATCCTCCCCAGGATCAGCCCACCACTGCCCCACCACCAGCAGCACCACCACAAAAGACAGTTAGACCCGTGCAAGGTAGGTCCCAAAAAAGAGGCGAGGCGGGCGCCTTGAAGCTGCGGTTCCACCACCAAGCTCTGCCCGCGGAGTACGCCGCCCACTACGAGGCCACCCAGGGTCGAAAACCCTCTAGGCCTGTGCTCCCGCCGCCATCAGCTCCTCCTCCGCCAAGTCAGGCGCACGAAAATGTCCGCAGCTGGCTAAGGAAGATTGCCGAGATCCAAAGGAGTGCGGAGCGCCAGCAGCAGAAGCAGTCAACCACTCCTCGAACTGCAGCTCCGGCCGCTCGATCCTCGCCCATTGCAGCCACGTCGGTGGTGCCGCCAACCAACGCCTCCAACGCCCCCAAGCGCCACTCCCTGAAGTACGCCGACCTGCCCTACATGGGCGAGATCACGCTGGACAACTACAAGCCGCGTCGCGGCCGGAAGCCCAAGAAGGCGGACATCTGCCACCTGATCTACAAGAACTACGGCACCATTGTGCCCGCCTCCTCCGTGGCGGCGATGCCGGTGAGTGCTGCTCCCGCGACGATTTCTGTGCCGCCCGAGGAGCCACTGAATCTCTGCCTGCGCGACCAGAGCGGCGATCGCTTCTCGATCTCCAGCGGCGACAGTGAGAAGCCTACAACGACGACGGATTGTGGCAGCTCCTCCCACCGAACAACGCCACTTGGTAATGGGAAACCCCTGACTTTGGAGCTGACTGGCAACGAGGAGCAGTCCAAGCTGGGCCTCTACTACCAGCAGCTGGTGGAGTCCTGCAGCCTGGGCGGAATGCCTGTGCCCCTGGAAACCATCGAGAAGGACAACCAGCTCTCGCTCAAGATACCCATACCAAGTGGCTTCTTCGCCAACGAGACTGCGCCGCTGGCCATGCGCAAGCGCAAGCGGTCGGCCATCTTCATACCGCCCATGCCCGCCGAGAATTCGACGAGTCCCTCCAACGAGGTCAGCATCTGCAAGTTCAAGTTCACCGGCGGCGCGAAGCCCACGCTGCAGGAGAAGAAGATGCTGTCGGTGGACGCGGAGGGCAACTACCGCTACTACAATGGCACCGGGGACAAGACCATGCGGGGCTACGAGTTCATCTCAAGGGATCAGCAGCAGCAGCAGCAGCAGGGGCATGATAAGCTGTACGTGGATATTCCGCCGCCTTCGAACGACCTCAGTCCAGAGATGCTTCACCTGGCGCCGGAGTCGCCCACGTCCACGCTGCTCCTGCCGCACAGTCCGGTCTCCCAGGGCTCCAGCTCGCAGAGTCCGATGCCCGGACAGCCGCACGGCAAATCCTCGGCGGACAGCGAGCGCAAGCGGCGATCCTCGAGGCGATCCAAGCAGCGCGAGAAGCTGGAGAAGACCTTCAAGGAGAAGGGCTTCCTCATCCAGACGCAGCAGCTGCAGTCCGCCGAAGGCGCCACTTACTGCAAGTTCAGGCAGCTGAAGAAGTTCACGCGCTACCTCTTCCGCAACTGGAAGGACCACATACCGGAGAGCGATCTGGCCAAGCAACCGAGTCAGGAGACCCAGACCACATAGTCCTTCAGCCGCGGGAGATCCGCACAAAGCACTGCCAAAGATTTAAGTTTAAGACCAGATTATGTCGCCGGTGCCAGTCGATTCCGTCCATGCGGGCTGCCCAACGATCCTCAGCCGCGCTTCCTAGTCGTTCATCAGTTTTTCTAGTGCATAATAAAATGTTATTGTTAATAAATCAACTCAATGTTTAACCAAATAACTTTAGCCTTATTATATATTATAGTTTCTAGCAGGGTTCGGAAAATAACACACTCTGTATTATCAACATGTTAAATGTCAAAGTGCTAAGGTCAAAAAAAGTTATTGACATGTGTGTAAAAATTGTAGCTTACATATGTTAGAAACTTAAATAACACACACAGCTCACTTTACGCAACGTGCTTTTAACACAATGAGTTTTTGACATTCATAAACGCTTTGAAACGGTTAAAAATAACAATTAAGATATCCTGGGCCAATATTGATTCTTAATTTTCCCTTCGATTCGTTAATGTCCATAAAATGTAATTTTCATTTGTGTTAAAAACACAGTGTGTAAAAAACACGTCGTGTTAATAACACATTGTCTAAAAAACACAAGTGAGCTGTGTGTGTTAACAATTATTTTTCACATTTTAACACTTTTGTTTTTGACACACATGTCAAAAACTTTGCTCACACTGTAAAATACCATTTTTCATGTTTTTATCTTGTGTGTTAAATTCCGAACCCTGGTTTTTAGTACAGGCTTCTTGTGGTAAAAGGCATCTTAGTTTGTATTTTACAAAATATCCGTCAATACAGTAACGTGTTAGTACAAAAGATAAACTCCAAAATGGGCGATAAGTCTTTAGGGTTATGCTCGCTCTCAAGGTCGTTTCAATGCTATTGCGAATACTTCTCGTTATCATCGTTTTGCTTAGCCTAAATGTTAGTTACAGATAAAGATAAAGATTTCCAAAATGTTTGCTGGTATGCTTGGGTAGACGAAAGAATTTTGACTTCGAATTCGATCGAAAGATGTTTGGAAGATTGGACTTGGATAAATTCTCGCTAATATTGTCGCTCGACTTGTGGATTTGGTTGCGTGATTGGTTCAGGTGGCAGTTCATTCTGGGCCAGGCTTGTGCTTACAACTAAAAAACATTCTCCTCAAATTGTGCGTTAATTCGAGCTCATCGAGCTCTCGTGGTCCTTGCCCGCCTCCGAAAGAGACGACGCCTCCGGCACCCTGGCATTCATGGGGCACACGTACTCCGTCCAGTCCACGTCGCTCTGGCCCTTGGCGCTCTTGCGTCGCTTCAGCGAGAACTGCGTGCGCTTCACCGGCTTCAGCTTGGCCGTTATGTTCAGAGGCTGGTAGCCGGGCAGCGATTCGGCATCCCGCTTGCTCAGGATGACGGGCCGACCCACCAGCTCCTTGAAGTGCATGGCCAGGTGGCGGCGCAGCAGCGACTTGCTCGGCGGTATCGACAGCAGGTCGGCCAGCAGGTCCGCGTTGAAGCGCGGCTCGTACAGCATCAGCGCCCCATGGACGCCGGCACCGCGCAAATTGGGCGTGTACTCGGACAGGTCGATGGTCTGCAGCCAGCCCATGATGCGGTGCGCCGTCCACAGCTCCACGTTGTCCCGATCGGGGCTGGCTCCTCCGCCCTCCTCCTCGCTAACCACCTTGATGGAGCGCCGTATCAGACCCTCTGCGTTCCAGGACATGCGGCGCATGCACAAGATGCCCGCTCGCAGCGAGGCAATGTGCAGGCAGGAGCTGACATGCAGCTGCGAGAGGTCCTCGAGCGTCAGGCGGTGCAGCATGCGACCGTCGACTTTGGCCAGCATGAAGTAGTCCTTGTACTGCGGCAGACCGATGTCATCCAGCCAGCGCAGAACCCAGGCGACATCCAAAACGGACGCTTTTATAGTTAGATCGTCGAACTCCTTGCCAGTCAGCTCATCAATGGCCAGCAGGATCTTCTTTCGGTGCAGCGGCAGTTTCAAGTTGAGCTCTCGTTCGATGTCAACGGGCGAGGCGGTGAAGATCGACACAGAGGGACTCGCCTTCAGCCATTTTCTAAGGAGAGGATAGCTTAGTAACTTTGTTTTGTGACTGCCGGATGACCAACTCACCTGCAGTTGTCCTCGTAGCAGCCCAGGCCCATGTAGCCCAGCCAATTGCACACCTCCTGCACTCCCCAGGTGGTCCAGTGCTTCTCGTTCTCACCGAACAGCGGCGTCTGGGCGCTCCACTCGATGCGTCCGCCGGCGGTGGCCCGGGAACCACCGCGTCGAAACTCCGGTTCGGCCTGCTCCAAAGCGGTCAGTTCGCAGTTGCTGCTGTTGCTGCGCCGCAGCTTGCCGAGTATGTTGCGCAAGCCCCGCGCAGATCGTTCCCGCAGCTTTGGCGAGGGCGTGAACTGCGACATGAAGCTGGAGGTCATGGGATCCTCCACCTGCTGAGGACTATCCTCGATCAGTATCTGTTCGTTGGAGGCGAAGGCCACGTTCCGCTGCTTCCCACTGCTGTTGGCATTCACGTCCAACGCGCGGTTGTTATTGTTGTTCGCCAACTTGCCGTGCGACCTGGGCAGACTGTGAAACTGCGGCTTTATCTGATGCCGCAGCGCCGAGGGCGGCGTCTTGGCCTTTTGGTTGATGTTGCTCAGACTGCCATAAGGAATGGGAACGCCTCCTCCATCCTGCACCTGCTCCAAAGCGGTGCGATGCAGCTTCAGCTCGCTCAGCGCACTCATCAGCTCCAGCTTCTGCGTCTCGAGGGCCGAGCGCGAGATCATCTGGCGCTGCAGCTGCTCCTCCTTGGTGCACAGCTGCTGGCTCTTCTCCGTGATCAGGCCCTCCAGCTCGATGATCTTGTCGGCCTGCTCCGAGACGCGCTCGGCCAGCATTTGGTACTGCAGGGCCAGGCCCTCCTTGTCCCGCTGCAGGCGGCGCATCCGCTCGTCGGAGTCCTGGCGCGGTATGTGCGTCTCCAGCCAGTCGCTGATGATGGCCGCCGTGACGGGATCAGGGGCGGGAGCAGCCAGGCCGACCTGTAATGGGTAAACCAATGAATCTTATCTTTCTCGTGCGAGAGTGACTCACCTGTTGCAGGGCCAAAGCCAAAGTCTTGGCCGTCGACAGAACGTTGGTGGCCGAAATCAGGTTGCGCTCGCTTAGCGTGAGGGAAGCCCCTGCTCCCACCACCGATCCCGATCCGGAAATGAGCCCGTCCATCTGCTGGAGCGCCGCCTCCAGCATTTTGCTGCCCTCCGTCACCTTCGCCATGTCGTCCGATTCCAATCGAAAGCCTCAAAGCCTCGCTAATCCCTGCTGATCGATGTGTGTGGTGTGGCGGCGCCTTATGTAAGCAGCTCAGGCAAGGCACGTCATTTCGCACGCGATGGTGGAAAACGGCATTTATGGTTATTAATTACTAATTGGGAAAAAACTATCACTAAAATAGTTTAGGCCTATCGGGTGCATATCGATTCCCGATATCACGAGGCGTTTCTATCGGTAATTTGTTGTGCTAGCTAGCCGTTTGGCAATAGTCACCCTGTGGTTTTCAGTCCCGTTCGCGGTTGCTGTCTTTGCTATGAACCTTAATTTCGAAAAATTAGTACCAAAATTAGAACTGCCTAAAATTCGAATGAAGTCGACTATAAGTCGAGAGAATAACTGCCAAAAAGAAAGTACCTTATGCAAATTTATAATTGACAGAATAAATCTGGGAATTCCCTAAACAGTTGATTTGCTGAATTGTTACATTGTGGTTAGCTGTTAATCATCTGCTCCATACAAAGTCAACTTCCAAAAATTGCAGCTATTCAACAACTGTAAAATCCTTGAAAACCAGAGCTGTCACCTTTTTTCTTATTAATAATTTTTAATAGTAATAAAAGTAAAAATAAAAATACAAGTTTACATATTTGAAGTTTAAAATTTTACAAGCTTATTCCTAATTATTGTTTCCTAAAATAATTGAGGATAATTGATCATCAAAAAGGATTCCCTCATCTCTGAGGCCACTTGCTTAACAATATTTAACTTTTAATAAAACGTGAGCAATAAAACGTGAAACAGTAGAATGAAGTAAATAAGAAATTACCCCATATACGTCTCAAGTTGTGCATTGTTGCCCACAACGGTGCTTTTTTAAAACAAGTTTGGATAAAGGTAAAAGTTTAAAAAATAGTTACATGCCGTTATATTTTATAACTCCATCAAAAACAAGGAATGACCATAGCTACAAACTTTTAATCAATTGTTCGTAATGAGAACCCAAAAACACAGGGATCCTGAAATAATGAACGCGATGAGAGGTTGGGCCTTTTCCAAAGTACAGCCAGCACTATGTCAATTTTCTTTAGTTCACTGAAATGTTCAAAATTTCATGAAGGTAATTTTTAGAACTATATATTTTTATGAAAAAAATCCACACATTTTTCCTCAGTGTAAGCAAATTTACCCTCCTGACTAGCCGATACACACTCCTAACCTAGCAAACTCACACTCCTGGCTTATCGAAGGCCAAAAACATCGATTAATTGTGTGTGATATCGGTTTTGAAATAAATTTATAAATTTGAAATAAAATTTTTGTATGGTATAATGTTTATAATGTTTTGAAATTCCTATCCCATTGATTTACAATCTCCTTGTAAAAACAAAAACATATTAAGTGTTAACATTATGATTTTAAAATTTTCGGAGCAACAAAAGCCTTTGAATTTTAATGGTAAACTCATCATTTGAAACTAAAAATTTCTTTTATTAAATTAAACCGGACTCATGAGTTTATTAAATGTTTTTTTTTTTGCTTTAAAGATCTTCTGGGCTAACTTACCACATACGAATAAAAAATCATGTTTCTAGCACTTTCCATACGAAACAATTTGTAAACTTAGTAAACTCCAGTATTAATAAAATTGTTAAAAGAAAACATAATTTTATCGTCTTTAGAGATTAAGGTTTTATTGTCATTGTATGCCAATATTTATCAACAGTGACGTTGAAAATATTTGAAATATGCGAGTATTTTTGAAGTCTATTATGTATATCCATTTGCTTGTACACAGAAAGAATTATTCACGATTAAGTATTTGTATTGTCAATTTGAGGATGTACTGATTTTGTGGACAAATTTGGAAAAAACCTAGTACCTTCACCTTGTTGATTCCCTCTGATTTGTCCCCGTTTTTGGAGAAAAAAATCTCTAAAATGACTCAGTATTATTTGAAAAATTGGTTAAATTGATTATATTTTGAGTAAAAAATGATCAATTTGAGTGTAAAGTTCATGAATAATTCTCTCTGTGAACAAATGGACAAGCATTGTATTTGTATTTAAATATTTTAATGCCAAATATGTGTATTTTAACAATTGCGAATAGGTTTAAAAATGTAAACAAAAATGAATGGCATTTTTGGAAATCGAGAACAAGTGTGTACAACATTTCAGATCGTCGCTTTGTTCCGCCCACCTGCGTTGCTCTGGATTTGAGATGGTGCATTGCTCGAGTGACGATTTCTCCAAATCGCTCCCCTTTGTTGTCGTGCATCATCTGGTGGAATACTCTGGGTATATATACCGCCGATCTTGTTGTTTATATGTGGGGACTCGGGGGACGACGCAGCGCAACGCAACGCATCGCATTATAGCTGGCTATGCAGATATAAGGGCTCCCCCTCTTGCTCCACATCCCACTCCATTGGATGCTCCATCCAACCATCCAACAACCGATCACTGGCCATGGAAAACCACTATACGGCTCGTATTCAGTCTCCGGCTTCGGATCGCATTTTATTTTCGCTTTTTCCCATCGCACATTTACAGTTATTTCTAAAAAACAATAAAATTCAGGCAGCGGCGTGGAAAAACGCTACATACACTCCAACGATCCGTATATCCAAAGCAATCGGCATCGTTCGTATTCGTGTTTTTCCGTTTTTCCGTTTTTGTTTTGTGTGCGTGGCAAGTTCACCGATTCTGGTCTATATTTTGGAAAACGCATCCGCGCAGCCTCGTAGTTGGAACGAATATTCCGAGGCGATCGGTTCGTGAGATAAAGCTAAAGAAACAGAAACAATCCAAAACAGCAGCAACATGAGCAGCGTCGTAAGTGATCGAGATCTCTCCAGTCTGCGAAGGATAACTAAGAAATACATATTTTTTTCGGCTATACCAGGATGAAGATCTTACCCCCGAGCAGATTGCCGTGCTCCAGAAGGCCTTCAACAGCTTCGATCACCAGAAGACTGGCTCCATCCCCACCGAGATGGTTGCCGATATCCTGCGTCTGATGGGTGAGTCCTGGAATTCATGGTTTCAGTTAGTAGAAGTACTAATCTCTGATGGGTTTTGCAGGTCAGCCCTTCGACAAGAAGATCCTGGAGGAACTGATCGAGGAGGTCGATGAGGACAGTAAGTAAAAACACTTTATAAATGTGCAGAATGATGGGTGAACTAGAATTTTTAAATCATTAAATACAATTTTAATAACACACTGAACACTAGTAAAAATAGACGCCATATTGTAGCTGAAAAGTTGCATTATTTATGTCAAATAGACTACCAATTAAAATAATTAGCTGAAAATAGTCTATTTACAATTTGAGTGGCATACATTTAATTTAATTCGTTTTAAAATACAACAGGGTGCATTACAATAAAACGAAAAAAGAAGATAAATACTACAAAAAAAAAAACAAACATAGGTATTACAATATAGAAAATAGAAAAATAGTTTTCATAATAATATTTTTCAATATTAATTTATAAATAGCCATTTCTACTCAATTGAACTTAAACAAATGTAATGAACTGTAACAAAAATATCAAATTACACGAAGAAACAAGCCAATGAATATTTAGGAACTAGTATTTAAGTCAGGGAAGACCCATTGGAAAACACTTATATATATCCAGTAATTAAGAAAGCTGCCAAAAAACTATCCTATCCTATCTTTACCCGACTATTACACCAATTCAGAGATGATTCACTATCGACTGATGATCATATTTCAGTTTCGCGCTGTCATTGATTTATGATCATCGGCGCTTCGGGGCCCCCATCATTAGCCAGTGGCTTTCCAGTTGTTTTTCAGCTAATTATATGCCATACATTTCGCTTATTTCAGAGTCCGGTCGCCTGGAATTCGGTGAGTTCGTGCAGCTGGCTGCCAAATTCATCGTGGAGGAGGACGCGGAGGCCATGCAGAAGGAGCTGCGCGAGGCCTTCCGGCTGTACGACAAGCAGGGCAACGGCTTCATCCCCACCACCTGCCTGAAGGAGATCCTCAAGGAGCTGGACGACCAGCTGACCGAGCAGGAACTGGACATCATGATCGAGGAGATCGACTCCGACGGTTCCGGTACAGTGGATTTCGATGGTGAGTGTGTTGCGCCCCCATTCGCTTTCTAGTGGCTTGCCATCCTCCGCCCACATAGAACACCATCCATATAGCGATCATAAATTGCGATGATCTTGAGATCGCGCGCGATCGCTCGATTATGACAGCTTGATCACCGCTCCCATGGAGCATATCGGTCGCTATTTTTAGTCGGGAACGACACACAAATTCGATTCCGAACATATTCCACACGCATCTCTCATTCTCGGAATCGGAATATCGGTATACAATTTTGTTTTCGTGTTTATGGAATATTTATTTATAAATGCATATAGCGGTTGCTCGCGTTCTGTGGCATCGGTTTAATGTCTGCTCTGTCGTTTTGTTTAATTTACAGAATTCATGGAGATGATGACCGGCGAGTAAATAAACGCACTGCGTCTGCCACCCACTCAACCACCCGCCACCCCCGAGGAAAGCCCCCCCCCCACACACACAAGCACACACACTACACACACACACACCTGTTGGGCACACGTTTGTTTGCTCCTATTTGCACACTTGTTTCACTTTTTATTTGCATTTCAAGGGAGCAAACAAATCCACGTACTTCAGTTTGACAATGCCAAACACGAGTAGAAATAGAACTTTTGTACTACTTTTTTATACTAAAAGAGCAACGGAATACTGTGTATGCGAAAAAATGAAAAATAAATGTTATGCTATGGCAAAATAACAAAAAAAAACCCATTCATTTGTTTTCGGATTACTTTTTGCCGCCAAACAAACAAGTCCATCATATATTTCACTTTGATAATGGGGGTAAACAGAGTGGACTTTCCGTACTAATCTGTCGTAAATTTTATTCAGTCTCAAAATATGTGTAGAATTTCCTAGAATTTATAGTACACTTCTCTGTTTATGTTCCTTATATGAATGTTACTTATACTTTTTTACTTACTTTGGAGAAAATCAAAATTTGACAAATAGCAAGGGAACTTAAAATTAATGATCAGGCAATTAGTCACTCGCCTTCTTTTCAGAGACAAATTTGTATTTATTTTATTTTCTCGTCGCATTTGGATTTCCTAACAATACCACTTATTTCGGTCTCTTTGTATGAATGAAATACTTTTTACTAATAAAGGAATAACCACTTCTGATATTTTATTGAGCCATAAATAAATGATTTAGTATGGCTAGATTTTATATTATAGCCAGTTGGGTTTGCTTTATTTTGACTTGATTTATAAATATAAATAATCAATACAAACATTTCACATATTTTTAGCCTTGATTTTTATAGCCTAATGAAGATTCTTTATAAATGGAAACTTTAATATTAGATTTAATACTATTTTGTATTGCTTTTTTAAAGATTGTACCCATTAGATCTTTAATCATCGCGATGTTCAAAGTAACAAGACTATTATCATGGTTATTAATAAATAGAGCATGTTTGCTTTGACCACTTTATACTGACCTCTTTTTGCTTTCCCTTATTAAATAAATAAATATTATGCTCTTACCATCATCGCCTGACTTCTTGTAGCTTCGGCTGAAGAGAGGCCGCCAGAAGAAAGCTGCCGGGCCGAAAGCTCCCGTCTTAACCACGTTAACTCTACAAGTCTACAAAGCGAGCATTGGTGGTATTTCGTACCGCTGAGTTGAGCGCTGGGCGTCGAGCGTCGAACGTCGTACCGCTTCTACGATTCCGCGATTCCACAATTCTACGATTCCATGACTCCGGGGACTCTCCCTACCGCCGTGAATTAAAACCCACCGAAAACCGAACTATCCGCGAGTTTTCCGCCTTTCGAGAGTCTCGTGATTCGCGATTGATAAAGAAAACAGAGGCCCCCAAATAAATATCCAATATGCCGCAGAGGTAAAGAAAACTAGCTGTACCGTTATTTATATAATAACAGTAACAGAAATTTGTTTGTTTTGGCCTATTCGGTTATTTGGCTCAGTGTGTGTGTGTGGCCAAGAATCGGGAATCAAGAATGCGAACGTGTTAAATGCCGCAAAGCCACAGCCAATGGCCATGCCAATAAAAATTTATGATGGCCTAAACTTTTTAAGGCACCTGCCTTCCATCGATATTCTCTTGGCCTTTTCATTCTTCTTGACATTGGCTTATCAAATAAATTATAAAACTAAATTGGACCTGATAAACGGCCAGTCAACAGAGCTGTTGTAAATTTGTGCGTGTGTGAATAGAAGTATTCCGAGTATTCGTGTGTGTTTGCGGCGATTGTCAAGTTCGCTTGATAAGCGCTTTTCGTGGTCTTTTGTAATTTCAGCCATGATTGAAAACAAAAGCCATTGCCACCGGTTTGACGACACGCGCTGCAGTGAATCCGGGGAGCAGGGGGTTTTTTTTTATGAATTTTAGCTGGCTATACGGGAAAATTCTGCAGTATGGCGGCAGAAACCAGACGCTGACGTCAGCCGCCTGTGACGTGAGTCACAACAATGGCCCGCCAATTAGCACTTGACTTTGAATCAAATCAAGCCGAAATCAGTCGCAAGCATGATAACGAAAAACACAATTGTCCGAAGATCTGAAGAAGCAAACAAATAGCGTGTAAATCGCAGCTAAGCACGTCTAATGTGAATGTCTCTCTGCTCTCTTTTTGAAGTTCCACCAACAACTGGTCGTTCCAGCCACTTCATCGCCAGCGGAGCAGCAGCGGATATCCTCAGCATGTCCTCAATACGGTGCCGGAGACCGCAGTGCTTACCACGCCCCCGCCCACGAGAAAACGTAAGTAACGTACTCTTTCCCAGAGTCATTTGAATTTGGCGCCCAAGCAAGCAGTGCAGCGAGCTGTTAACAGGGGCTGTTAAAATGTACTTTACTTTATTTATTTTGGGGACCGGACCAATCAACGGCGTATAACTATAGGGTTTTAAATATGTTATTATTTCTTGTATATTTCAAACTTTCGTTCATTTTTTTAATTAATTTGGCCCGATTTTTCCACCCATTTATAGGTCGGGTGACTTAACAGTAGCTGTTTAACAGTTTTTTGTTTAACTTGTGCGCTAACCGACGAATCACCCTGTGGGCCTGTTTTGTTCGAGTTTTTGGGCGCAAAATTTGAACTGGTTTGAATTTAAATAGGGCAAATGGCATGAGAACTTTGTTATTTATTCCAAAGTAGAACAAATTTTAATTAATTGTCAAAATCGCTCGAAAAATTAAAACTCAAAGGGGTTTATTTTACCTGATGCAGATATTAATGTTAATGTTTAATGCTAAAAAAAACATCAATAAATCATCGATGCTTTGAAAAAAATATGTTTATTTTGATTTTAGTAAATAAATAAATAGGTAGAATAAAATAGCCCAACTGCAAGACCTTTATGGTTTATACTAGCTATACCCGGAGCGACTTCGTTCGCTCAAAATTAGTTTGCAGTTTGGAAATTAGGTTGTCAGGACTTTCTTATATCTTATTTGCGCGTTTGTTGAAACCCTTTGCGTAAACATCCTTTCTAGAAGATTCTTCAAGAGAGAGATTCCGAAGACTACTGGTAGAGCTATATAAAAAATGAATGCGATCTAAGTAAAAGAAGTGCATTTTTATACCTTCTATCAGTTACAATGTTATCAATGCAATTTTAATTTGCGCGCAAGTTTACACTTGTTTCTAAATTCGAATTTGTTATTTTTAAATTTATTGTTTTGAATGAAACGAAAACATTTGTACACACACGAAAAGATTGACATCCCATACAAAAGTAGCGAAGTAACTTATTATTTTCCGATTCCACATTTGATTGATAATTATTAATTTTAAACTCTTCCAATTTTGCATTGGCTGAAAGGAAATAAATTATTTTATTTGTATTTAAGCACATTATCTACATTCAAATAGAAACATACACACACATTGTGTGTATGTACATGTATTGTACATACATATAAGCAAATCAAAACATATCCAAATATACATATGTACATAAGTATTTGGTCAAAAGTTCGAATCTTAAGATTAATATTGAACTTGGAAACATTTTGGCTTTGCTTACAAAATTTGTAGTAATTTTCTATTTTCTTCCATGGTGGAAATTAAATAAGGTTCTTACTGCTGCTACAAAATGAAAAATAAAACCTAAGCATTTGATCCACAGGACTGACTATTGATCGAAAATCATTTTGATCGGAGTTTAAGTTTTTAAAATCCAAAACAAATTTAACTTAAATTGCCTCTTTCCCCTCCCCTTTCCTTGCAGCACTACCCTTCCCATTTCTTGGCTGTTGCTCTCTCGGCCGTCGCTGGCTTGCCATCCGCTCTCTGGGTTTCGCTCTCTCGGCGGGCTCCCACAAAATGCAACGCAATAACTTAGGAAATCAAAATAAATTCGTTAAAAATACTTTAAAAAAATGTTAAAAACTTAAAAAATTAAACTTAAGCATTTGGGCCATAGAATAACCATTTACCAAAAAATCATCTCGATCGGAGCAGCGGTTTAGATTTTTTAAATCGAAAAGTTAATTTTTAATGTAGCCCCCAAATTATGGGGGATATCGAAATTTCTTTTAGATTTCTAATTAGGCCCTTTCAATACCTAAAATTCTGCAAAATCAAAATTTCGAAATTCCAACCACTTTAGAAGCTAAGCTTAAGTAAATCTAATGATTTTTTGCTCTAAATATGGATATTGGAGCTGTTTGGGGCCACTGGGGGGACATGTCGGACCTTAGTGGGCGCCTACGCCCCCAATGACATACTGTGAAAAATTTTGGCTGCTCTAGCTCTTATGGTTTAGGCTGTGGTCGTATCCCCCTAAAAATCGGTCTTTCATTTTATAATCTTTAGAGATTAAAGCAAACAAACAAAGGCTTTATTCGGAAAAAAATGTAAAAAAAAATATCATCAGTATTGAGGAGATCAGCATATTCACATTTTAGTATTATAGGAGAGTATTATGATATTGCTTAATCCACCGCTTCCCTCCTACGCCACCAATACAGTAAATAGTTTGTTCCATACTTTTTGAATAGCAATTTTTCTTTATTTTTGACCCAATGTGGTGGTGATTTATGAACGATATTACCCCCGCACATGACAATAATTAACTTAAATTAAAACCAATTTTTCGTTAACATGCCTTCCACCGTTTCTTTAAAATTGGTGATGTGACTAAAACATCGATTGCAGATTCAAGCAGGGCTACTAGGTTTTTTAACTTAATACTAAATTAATTTGAATGCATTCTTTTCAATTTTATTTTACAAGTTTAAAAAACAATTCTTTATTGTGTTGGGTTGCATAGCCATTGAAATATTAACAAATTGATTCTGATAAATCTATAAAAAGCTATGGTTCAAAAAGTGCTCGAAACTGAAACCATACATAAGTTCAAAGCTATTTTAAGCTAAGAAAGAGTATAAATAATTTTTAATAAAATAACTGGAAAGAATTTCGTTCAACGACTCGGTTTTTGATTTGCTACATTTTACAACAATTGTATTTGTATAGAAAATCTGATAAACATTACCAATATTTAACAATTCAGCAATCCACAGTTTGGAGAATTCCCTAATTATTCTTTTAAATTACGCGCGCCCTGCCCAGAGTCTAGTATTTAAATGGTATTTTCATGGGTTTTCGCCATACTCGCAGGCTCCTAGCACCTTGCCACACTGCCCTCTTTTTTTAACAACAACAACTGAAATAAAAACAAAATTACAGCGCTCACAATACAAATTGCTGGCGTTGCTGCAGCGGAAAGCGGACACAAGCGCAGATTCTTAGCAGCGCGGAAAAAGCCGAAAAGCGCGATGAAAATGCTCGCGGACACGGAGCGTGAGGAAGCCCTCAACTTGGTGAGTTTTTCGGCTGCTTTTCGATCAGCAGCAGCAGCGAAGATGTGATTGCGAATTGAATCCATGACAACGGCATCGCGGCCCCAAAAACAATAACAAGCGTTGCCAAAAAGAGCGATTAATTGGACTGCTCCGTATATTGACTAATTGATTATCGATTATCGCTGATGTTCTGTTTTCCTGCTTCCTGCTTTTCCCGCCCCACCCACCGCCGCCGCCGCCCACTCGCCGTTATTGATTTGTACACGGAACGTGCTTTGTTTGGCGGCGCTATCGCAAAATGCAAACCACCGACCGACACACATACATAATCTCTGGCTGGCGGGACCACGAAATACAAAATACCAAATATATGGAACTCGAAAATATGCAAAACCCCCCTCGCTCCCGCAGCAAATTGAGTTCGAGTGGGTGCTGCGGCAAGAAGTACACGCGATACTGAAGCAACTGAGGACCATTCTGGTGGTGAGTGAATCTCTAATCAGTTTCCCATAAACCCTTTGTAACTCCTATCGCAATCCCAGGAATGCGCCCATCGGTTTCCGGTGCCCCTGTACGAGAACGAGGGAAAGAAGACTGAGAAGTTCATACTCACCGTGTCGCCCGACCAGCTGAAGGCCGTGCTAACACTAACGGGCGATGCCATCACGCAGGCTGTAAGTATCTCTGGAAACTCCCCTTAAAAGTTATGTTAAAAACCCTCTCAGAACCCTTGATTTTAGGGAAAGTTTTAAGCTAGTTCTGTAATACATTGTTTCCACCCCCAAAAGTAACGAGGTAATAACCCTACTAGTTCCCCAACCGGAACTACTGCTTTTCTTAAAAGAAACTAGTAAAAACGAATAAGTTATAGGTGAAGAAATTCTGTGTAAGCTCTTTCTGTAGAGATGATTCAGTCTTTGGGTATACGGTAACTCCCCCGAAAGTGATGGGAAATACCCCTAGAAGTACCAATAAACAAACCATAAACTAGATAGAAAGAAATTGACTCGGTGAAAATATTATAACGATCTTTAAAAATGATTCATTCTCAAGTTTTATAGAATGTATTGAAACTCAGCTTATAAAAACCCTATTAGAAGTTTAGTTTCCATAAATAAACATTTCTTTTGACGTTTTTAAATGTATAATGTATAAAAATATAAAATTTGATTTAACATGTATCTGTTCCTAGTACTCTTTCCGTATTATTACGTCATGATACATTCAAGTACATGACAAGTTTTACAAATCATTTAATAATATAATTATTTTCCTTATCTTTTGGTGACATACATAGTATGAGTATATTTTCCATGAATCTAATAAATTAAATAGACACAGCGAGTGATACCTTTACCATCTATTTCCAATAAATATACTAATGCCGAACTCCCTTCCCCAGGACATTAGCTTTAAGCTGTGCAAGGCCCCGAGCCAAACGCAACGTACCTCCATCACACATGACTCGCCCTGGAAGCTGCAGCAGGTCCAGGATGCGGCCAACCATCTGCAGACCGCCATCAATCACATAGACGATGTCGACGACTCTTATCACTTCAAGTGAGTCACGTTTTGTTTTGCCTGAGCTTTACGATTTGAGGTTGTACTTATACGCCCATGTTCTCCGTCCAGAACCTCCGACGAAGTGCTGCATGTGATAGGCAACATTCTGGATGCCCTGCAGCGGGGAAGGAACAGCCTGCTGGTGCCCAAGAAGAAGCCCATCGACGAGCTGATCAAGGGGCGCAACATGAAGTCGCTGGTGCCCAATCTGCCCGAGGACCTGGCCGTAAGCTTCTACCTGCAGAGCCACAAGCTGATCATTGCTGTCTACCAGCTGCTGAACAACCAGGGCACCATGCGCTTTGACTCCCGCCAGGCGGAGGCCTCCGTCCAGTGGCTAAACGACGTGCTGCTGCTGCTGATGAATGGCCAGAAACTGTGCCAGCAATTAAAAGACAAGGTGAGTCGCAGGTGAAGCACCGGAAGTGGGCAAAAGAACGCTTGATTTGTATGGCTGCACACAAAGCCACAAAGTTGCAGAGGCGGAAAGAAGGGCAGGCACGTATAGAAGACAAATAAAAAGTATCCAAGCTAATTAACTAATGATCATTCTTTGATATACTACGAAAGTAGATTCCCCATTCGATGGTCTGTCTATGCTCAATTTTTATTTAGAAATTATGAGTATTATATCATGTCACTTGTTGTACCTGAAGACCAATATCATCCAACTTTGGAATTGACAATTGGCCTCCCCTGTACTGATACCCTTTCTCCTTTAGTTCCTCAAACTAAAAGGAGATGCTTTCGTAAATGTGACTATAATAAACTAAACTACATGATTTCTCAATATAATTGGACTGATTTGTACAATTGCATGGATATTGACAGTGCAACTGAACTTTTCTATAGAGTTTTAAACACTTTCTTTGACGAATGCGTACCTGACAGTCTTCCTCCGAAGCTAAACAGGCCTCCTTGGTTTAACAATGAGCTTCAAAGACTTAAAAATCTTAAATCCAACACTTATAAAAAGTATAAAAAAACGGGAAAGCCATCTGATTTTGCGAAATATGTTGTGGCTCGTTCAGATTTTAATGTTCTCAACAGTCATTGCTATTCCATGTATTTAAATCGATGTAAATTCGAGTTTTCAAATGATCCGAAGCAGTTTTATAACTTCGTTAATGCCAAGCGTAAGTCTTCGGCATTGCCTTCATCGGTACGTTTAAACTCAAAAGAGGCATCGTCGGATTCTGAAATTGCGGATTTATTTGCCGAGTTTTTCCAAACTACTTATAGTTCGGCTGCTTGGTCAAACCCTACCTACCCTAACCACTTAAATAGGGCTAATTGTATTTTTACCCCTGTAATTACCGAAAGTTCTCTTTTAAAGGATTTAGCAACAACAACGCCAACGTATTCTCCCGGTCCTGATGGACTCCCTGGGAGTGTGCTTAAGTTTTGTGCTTCAACCATTTGTAAACCGATTCTTAAACTTTTTCATTTGTCTATTTCATCATCAGTTTTTCCAACTATCTGGAAGGACTCTTTCATTATTCCACTCCACAAAAAGGGTGCGAAGGCGGATGCTCAGAATTATAGAGGCATTTCTAAATTGTCGGCAATTCCTAAAGCATTTGAATGTATTATTACTTCTCATTTGCAGCATTTATGTTCCTCGCTAATATCACCGTGTCAGCATGGTTTTGTTAAGCGAAGATCGACCACCACCAACCTTCTTGAACTATCATCTATTGTAATAAATGGATATAAGAATAACATGCAGACTGACGTTATATACACCGATTTTAGTAAGGCCTTTGACTCTGTTAACCACTCTCTCCTTTTATTCAAATTAGATCAGCTTGGGTTCCCATGTAATCTATTAACTTGGATTTCAAGTTACTTGAATGGTAGGACTCAGAGGGTTATATTTAAGAGCGCTGTTTCTAAAATGATCAACGTGACATCTGGAGTTCCTCAAGGTAGTCATTTAGGCCCTTTGCTGTTTACTTTGTTTATTAACGATCTTCCCTCTATCGTAGCTCATTCTCGTGTACTAATGTACGCTGACGATGTTAAGCTTTGTTTATCATATAAAGATGTAGGGTCCGGTTTCAACTTACAGTCAGATATTGATTGTTTTCAGGGATGGTGTGAGTACAACCTTTTAAATCTGAACTGCCTTAAATGCAACGTTATGACTTTTTACAGGGGCACTCCTACGTTTGTTAGTTATTCTCTTCAAAATACACCACTCGACCGTATATATTCAATTAACGATTTAGGTGTTCTTCTCGACCCAAAACTTAAATTTGATTGCCACATAATGGCCACTGTCAATAAAGCTATGAGTGTTTTCGGGTTTATAAAGCGTTGGTCAAAGGAATTTGATGACCCTTATACAACCAGATTATTATTTACCTCCCTTGTCCGTCCTATTTTGGAATATTGTTCTTCAGTTTGGAGCCCACAATATCAAGTGCACATCGACCGTATTGAGTCGGTGCAAAAAAAATTCCTTCTTTTTGCCCTTCGTAGTTTGAACTGGGATCAAAACGTAAGGCTACCTTCCTACCAGAGTAGATTACTATTGCTTAATTTACCTACACTTGAAAACCGTAGAATAATGCTTGGTACTATTTTTATGCAAAATCTTATAAGAGGTGATATTGATTCCGTAGAACTGGTAAACCGTTTAACTTTTAATGTTCCCGTTAGACTAACACGAAATTATTACCCTCTTAATTTGCCTCGATGTACATCAAATTTTACTCTGCATGAGCCTTTTCGTGTTCTATGTAAAAATTATAACAATCTTTATCATTTAATTTGCACTTCAACATCTATCCCCGTATTGAAAACTAAAATTTTATCTCATTTGCTTCAATCTTAGTTGTAGTATTTGTAGTATTTGGTTTCATGTCTTTTCCTCGCGAACTCGCATTTTTGCCCTAATTGATAAAGGGTCCCGCGCGTAACAAGCACGTGCTTGGTATCGTTGGGCCACTTGTTTGTACTGCTCGTAGTGCATCAACGTCCATCATTAAATGTTTGCCCCCCGCATTCCCAAAAAAAGAATTCTTGTTCTCAGCGGGTTTGAAGTATACACAGAATAAGTCAATTATTTCCTAGTGAAACAACAAATGTATTCTTCATGGCTACACAAAAAGAAAAAATTGCTATAGATCGAAAAAATCTGCTAACAAAACATGTAAAGTTTATTTATAAATCCTAAATATAGTCTTTTATATTTTCGTCAGTTATTAATTTATTAATAGAATATTGTTATTCCTAAATAATTTGTTTTTTATCTATAGGCTTATTAGTAATAGCGTGATTTTTCGCTCGGTACATCTTTGAAAAACGTAATGATAGGATGTTTTGACTGCTGGCTCTTAGGAAGATCAAAGTTCTATTATTTATAGGTCAGAATATATCAATAGCGCTGAGCAATTACTATCCACCCACGCAATTTTCCTACTTGAAACACGCCCACCCAAGTGACGACTATTTTTGGAATTAGCCGGCACTGATAAGGCGTCTGCTCTTGAACTGATATCACAGCGATTCGCATCGGCGTGCTCACATGTGCCGAGAGCCGCAGATGCTGTCCCATTTTGCGCGCCCACAAGATGCTGCCAAGTTCTATTTGGTTGCTGGCCAACTGCCAGGGCCACGCTGCAGTTCTTGACTGTGACGCAAGTCGGCAATTAAAGTGGCCAATATGGGGATTGGCACAACTATGGCAAATATGGGGGATTGGGCTGGGCCCTCGAATGAGTTGTGGGTGTATTTTTAATTCAATTTTTCTACTCTTCCGCAGATATCTGTGTTTTCGGTGTACAAAGATTTCACAGTTGGCTCGCGTTCGCCCTCAGCGCTTTCCTATTAGGAATAGGAGTAGGAATCGGGAACGGATACTTCGATGGATGGCAACTGTGGAACGGCGACAGAAACAATAACAACAATAATAGCTAATAAAGAATCGTACTTGTAATAGCGAAGTAAATAATGTTAGTTGAAATGTTGCTACTGGAAACGGCACACCCATAATGCTATACACCCATGCATACTATTCTATACAATACTATACCACACTATACACTATACTACTGTATACAGTACAGAGAGTTATATACATACAACTAGTTTAATGTACACGATCAACATTCAACATTCATGTTAAATTACGATTTACGATTACGTAGAACCTGAGTTCATCGCTTCACGTCACTCCAATTATGCATCAAAATGCATCTAAATAGCATTAGGCTGAGAATTCAGAATTGAGAACGGAAAATGTTTGTGAAAACCAATTGTGTTTTGTATGTGTAACTAAAAGAAATTGCTAGATAATTATAGTTTATTCGTACGTGTAATTTAATGTAATATACTATGTCCCATTATTTATGTTTGCGAAGATGCAATGGAATCCACCAAGTCAGCAGTCAGTCGGTACTTAAAGTCGGTACTTACAACTTATATACGCCCCCTACACCCAAGTACATACGGATGGGGCACCAACATCGGCATTTACATGATATTGTTGTAATAAACCAAACCGAACCGAAATGTGAACAGAATTTTTAATTGTACTAAACACCGTTTTGTATTCGTACTCGTAATTGTATACCCCTAATCGTATTCCCCGTACTCGTTAATGGTTAATGGTTAAGCGCGCCTAATCCTAATCTAATCCAAAGTCATTTGTATCAACGGCCTTTACTTCTTGTTTACTTTATACATCTACCAGGGAGTTTATGAAGATATAGAAAGTTATGGAAAGAGATGCAACGAAAACAATTACCACTGTACTTATTGAATATTGCAATTGCCTAAGCACCCCCTAAATGCATGGGAAAAGAAGACAACTATTTATGTAATCACTAAGCGTACTTACTGTCCACATTCATTTACTTGTTGTTGAATAAAAATTACCTTTTACCAAAACGAAATGTACGTATTTTGAAAAGCTTTCGATTTCGCGCGCCAAAGCACGATTGCTGCGATCGATAGAAGCGATGGCGATAGCGATAGCCAGGCGGTTTGGCAACGCTCGTTTCGGTTTTAGCCAGTTTTGTTTATGGCCAACAAACAGTTTTAAGTCAGCAGGCAAGCCCAAAGGTTTGCAAACCCAAAAGAGCTCCCTTCTTCTGGTAAGCGGAGTTTCCTAGTCGTTCTAGATGGACAAGTGCCTTTAAATTAAGTGGCCAAAATGGTCAGGCAAAAATGCCAAATTTAAGTGTTGACATGCATGTCGAAAGAGACGCGGAAACCAGTTCGCGGTAATTGTTTTGATGCTGTGTTGTAATCTCTAAGCCAGCCCAGCGTCAACATTAGCACATTTAACAATGTTTCTCTTTGCTGCCAAAGTTTCTGGTGTTGCCGCTGTAGATGTTGCTGCTGTAGATGTTGCTGTTGCAGATGTTGCTGCTGCTGCCGTTACCAATCGTGTGTTGTTTCTTTTTTGACTCTGCTCAACGGCCTTTGCTGCTGGACTGCGTCTAATAAAATCACACAAAAGTTGACCGTGGCCAAGTAACACACTAAGGGGAAATAGAAATCGAAAGCTGTGGTGGCAAAATGTCAATGGACTTTTATCTTGATTTAAATTTACATATGAGTTTTCCTTACTTTTTCCTTTTGTCAGTAACAAGTTTTTCCCAAATCTTTGACCCTTTTGGCTATACAAAGTTGGACAAGTCAGCTTTCAAAACCCTTTTATTTCGCCATATTTGGGTAATTTAATAATGAATTTAACAGTCATTTTCGGCAATCTAAAAATATGAATGCCATTAATACCATTAGAAATAAGGTCACGATTCAAGAGGAAGTAAAGGAAAGGAATAGTAGTAGTTTCCATTAGTTTTTATTATTAATCAATGTTTTAAGTGATCTTGATCTTGATCACCTGATCTTGAGATCAAATGACTACAATTAATTCATATATCAAAACAACTTTTTGATCAATTAGATTAAGAATATCTTTTACTATTCTATTATTAAAGAAGTTTTTTAAATGAGGGTTTATTTTATGAGTATAAAAGTAGGTATCCAAAAACATAGTTTGGAATAGAGTTCAAGTGAAAGCTTGGCATATAAGTATTTCCTCTAATTTAAAATAAGTAGATTACACACAGTATGAAGACAAATAATTCCAGTAATCAGTGAAATTTGGATTACACAAACTATGAATTATAAGTACACACATATGCATAGGATAGGAGCCACCTTTATTGTTATTAGCCAGTCAGAGCGTCACGTAAGCCGAGCATCTGAAAACGCGCCGAGTCACTCGGAAACCTGCTCCGCTGACCCTCGAAGAAGGTCGCCGGCTGATGATGAGCCAGTTTATGTGTGATATCAAAGTGGCCGGGTTTATGGGGCTGCCGACCATAAAAGCCACTCTCACGGAAACTCCACTTAACTACTTAAGCTTAAGCCAGTCGAGCTAACCTGCAGTCGGTCTCGTTGCAGTTAAACCAAAAACCAGTGCACTTTGACCCCGGACGCAATGAGTAACAAAGGCGGGGAAGTGGTACTCGTAACCGGCGGCAGTGGATTTCTGGGTCAGCACCTTATCAAGCAGTTGCTGGAGCGGAAGGAGGAGCTGGGCATAAAAGAGATCCGCTCGCTGGACATAGTGCCCTACAAGAACAACATCGGCCATGAGGAGACCAAACTGCTGCGCACCTTTGTCGCCGATATCGGAGGCGATCGGGAGGCACTCAATCCCATCTTCAACGGGGTGGACGGGGTGTTCCACTGCGCCGCTTCGGTGAAAATCGAGTATCCGCCCAACTACGACGAACTGGAACGCGTGAATGTGAACGGTGAGTGAGCAGATAAAGTACCACATAAGAAAGGTAATTCGAGGTTCCATTTCCTTGATTATGGGCCCTAAAAGACTTTGATTTTATTCCTATTAGGTGCGCTAGTAAAGTAGCTAACTTTCGGAAAGATACTATATTTAAAGTCATACAAATATTTTAAAATATTTCTATTACTATACTATCTATTTTAGGCACCCTGGCGGTCGTCGATCTGTGCATCCAGAACAATGTCAAGCGTCTGGTTTATACGAGTTGTACATCCGTTTGCTTTGTGCCCTTTAAGGGGCGTAGTACCTTTTCGGCGGTCATTAACTCCACGGAATCCAAGACAGACACTCCCACGCTCGACAGTTCCACTCTGTGGGAGCAGGATAACCAGTTCCTGATACCGGGATACGCCTCCAGCAAGCTGAGAGCGGAGAACATAGTGCTCAACTCGAATGGAGCTCCTCTGCAGAACCAGCAAGGTAAATCTGATCAAATAGATACTCGAAGATTTCAAAAAAATCGATCCATTTACTATATTCTAAAGTGAATTCGACAACAAGGATTTTGAGGAAATTGAAGTAGCTTAGCAAACATTTAATAGGTACCTAATTTTCTTGTATTGCTTTTAGAATATCTGGCAACCAGCGCCATTCGTGCCCCACTGACATATGGCGAGTGTGATTCCCACTTCATCACGGAGGTCTTTGAGTATCTTTCGACCCGCGGATGGGTATTCCCAAGGATCGCGGGCGTGGGAGGAAAGCAGCAGTTGGTATACGCTGGAAATGTGGCCTACGGACATATCTGCGCCTACAAGGCCCTGAAAGTATCCGATAAGGCGGTGAACGGACTTCCCGTCTTCGTGACCGATGATACGGGCATCAACGATGTCTCCCGATTTGTCCAGAAGATGGCCGTGCTGGGCGAGCGCTTCAAGGTGAAGACCAGCTGGTGGTACGTGCCGCACTTCCTGTTCTTCTTCCTGGCCTTCCTGCTGGAGGTCGTGGTCCGGGTGGCGTATCCCTACACCAAGTATCGCCTGCGCTACTCCCTTCGCGCCCTCGCCTCCTACACGTCGTCGATGCTTATGTACAACCGGCTAAGGGCCTCCATCCACATGGACTACATGCCCCTGTTCGATCCGGATGCGAGTGCCGAGCGGAGTGCCAAGTGGTATGCCAGGTGGTGGGACGAACGGCAGCAGGCCAAGAAGCTCAAGAAGTCCAGCTGAGTGGCGCTAATCCCGCATTACGATAGTGTACTACCCGATATCCTGAGTGGGTTTGTCTTTACTGCCCCGCTTGATGTCCTGTAAATATCCTGTTAAATAAAATGGTTGTTGTTCGTTTTACGAAGTCGTGTTTCAGTTTTCTCGGCTGCAGCTTCTCGAATTGTATGTGTTTTAAGAACAACTGCTTGGATATGAAATGTCTAGTTTATCTAGCCAGGATGAACAAATCAGATTGACAACTCCGATTAAAATAGTCATATGAACTAAACTATTGTACAAAAATTCTATACTATTGAGTATCAATTTTGCCTCAATAAGATGACCATTAAATTAATACTTTCGAAAGTATTAAATTTAATAATTCGGTATAGAATTTAGACTACATAAGTATTAAATTAGTAAAGTACAGATTTTATTCTATTTGGTATCAATACCTAGTAGATTCATTTTGATAATGGAAAACTAAAGAATTCGATTTAGTTGGAACCTGAAAGACAATAAGCAATTTAAATAAACAAACCATAAAAAATAGTCCCCTCGTCAACCCAGAAAAAAACACTTGGACAGCTTATGTTTTTGAACAATGTTCATATTGGTTTATTTATCATTATGAATTAATTTATTTATTTCTCAGTTATTTCATTATAATTTTTATTTTATATATATATATATATATTTGTTTGTCTTGGTTTTCGGTTCTTCTTGTTTTTTTTGTTGCTCTAGAGCGTTTCTTGCCGTTTGTTTTTTAAACTTATGTACCATTAGCTTAACTTATTATGCCATTATTTAATTTCATTTTTGTTTAAAATCATGTTTTAGTTTTCTGTTCTTTTGTATTTGTTTTTTTTCTTTTATTTTTCGTTTAATATGCGGTTGCTGATCTCTGTTGTTGCTGCTGATTCTGCCGATTTCACTGCCGATCTTATCCCGATCGAGGGGATAATGGATAATAATCCCCAAGAACCTCATCTTTCCTCCCTGTTCGTGGCACATTGTGAACAAAGTGATTTTTAATTTGCTGCTAAAGTTGTTCGCATTTTTTTTGCATATACATATAGCGGGCTGACTGTGTGAGTGGGTGTTAATGTGTGTGGGTAAAGTGTGAATGTGTGTCCGTTAAAAACTTATGTAATTTGTGTGTGTAAAAAAGCAACAATTTGCCCCTTTGTCGTCTGTTAATAAATGTTGCACTTGCTGTTGTTCTTGTTGTTGTTAAGGATGTGGCCGTTGTCGATGGAATTGTTGGTGATGTTGTTGGTTGGTGGCCGCATAGTTCTGTTTCTGTTCTTTTCGGTTCGAGGGTCCTTATATATAATTGAATTTCTTTTACCACCAATATGCGTGCCTGTCTGTCTGTTTGCTCATCGAATGCTTAACATTATTGAATTTAACTATATGTTATTTGTTGTTCTTGGTTATATAACTATGTATATATATGTATATATATCATTTTGGGTTTTATTCTCATATATGTATATACGGGCATATTTGCTGTTCTCAGAAAGGTTTCTCGGCCTTTTTTTGGGCTTGTCTTCCGTTTAATATATATATCATTTCGGATCTTCTGGTTTTTTTCTTGTTTTTATGCGTTTTCTCGTAGTAAATATACAAATTCGTTACCGGATTTCTTTATAGAAATGAAAAACTGTTTATTAAATTCTCGTTATGCTTCTATTTATGTGTATGTGTCTCCGTCTTCCACCTTCCGACGCTTTGTTGCGGTTTCTGGCCGTTAATTATTATGTTTGTTACCTTGTATAGTTTGCTGTAAGTGTAGTACTGTACCAGTTTATGTTATGTTTAATGCTTATGTACACACATTGGCAATCTCGCATCCCGCATCCAACATTCATCATCAGCCCATCCCCAATGTGTACGATTTCAAACCACCCGAACCCATCGCATCCATTCCATTCCATCTGGTTTCATTTGTGTTAAAGTATTCGCACGGAAAGTTGGCAAAGCTCTCGGCCCTGCGACTCCATAGACAGTATGTATGTATGTTTAATTGATTCTCGTCCTGCGCTCCTTAATTACTTTACTTACATAGTTAGAATACTTACAAACTGGACGCCCTGCTATGGCGCATTTTATAAATGTATCTTCATCGTCTTGTTGTCTGTCTTGTAGTTGCATATTCATCTGCCGCCCGGTTTTGTCTCTAAAGATTCCTTTGACTTTTATGTGTATAAAGTATTAAAATGATTTCATCTTGCTTGGTTACGCATTTCTTGTAAATACAATTTTAACGCCTCTCACGCCGTTCGTCTTGCCTCAATTATGTATTATTTGTTTTTTGTTTTTGGTTTTTGGTTTTCCTCATTTTCTTGTATATATTAATATATAATTTTCCATATAGTATAGTGTAAAATATATAAGAGATATTGTCAATATAGTAAAGGTGTTTTGTCAGCAGGAGTTCTGCCACTTCCAACTGACACATTCCTGGGGGGAATTTCTTACTTATAGCAAAAATAGTCAAGTGATCGTTCGTATGAAGGTTCTTTTTTATGTGATCTCCATCGTATATATGCGTGTGCCAGTGTCTGTGTCTGTGGCTGAGTGTGTGTTGTTTATGTGAGTGCTGTGAGGTGTATGTACACATGTCTATAAAAAAGAACCGAGGATAGAAATGTCTCGTGTGATTAAAGGATTGCTATCTTATAAAAGCACGTCAAAGTGTAGAAGGCCCACAAGTCGTATTTCGTGCCAGGCGCCCCTTTGCGCCGCTCTCCGCGCTTCTCAAAAAGGCCAAGTGGTCGGCCCGTCTTACTCATCTGTGTGGTTACTGTTGTTCTTGGTTTTGGTTTTGGTAAACAGAAAGTTTCTTCGTCGTTAGCGCTAGATATTAGTTAAATTGTATTTCATTATCGTAATCGTTATCGTAATTGTAATCGTATTTGTTGATGTTGTTGCTATACTCATACACATAATAAGAACTGATATGTTTGTAAGTCAATAATAAGAGAAAAACGGAAAGCAATTCGTATATGTAACTACGTAACTCCGCCTACACCCAATCCTCAACATCATCTTCTGGTGTTTCGCCAATTTAAAACTATTTTACATTACACTTTATGTCTTTTCGTGCCGCGTTTTTATATATTTATGTTTTGGCTTCCACCCGGCTTCGACCACCAATTGACTTTTTGACCGAAAGTTGCGTATAGCTTAAAGTATGGGGTACATTATTTTTAAAAAATCGTTACGGCATACTTTTTATACACTCATTTCTCCGTTCTCGATATAAAAAAGAGAGCTCACTTGTCGAATTCTATAAATGGTTCTCCTTGTTCGTTTTATTTATATTTTGTTCAATTTAAAGCTTTTGCGCCTGCGCCGTCAAGCTGCTGCGATCTCATCCTGGACTCCCTTTGCTTCGACGGCGCATCAGTAAAAAAATAATGAAAAATGTTTGTTTTTTGTTATGTCTTTGTCTTTGTTTGTTCGCTTATTTTTTGGTTTCTAAAAAATGTTCTTGTTTCTTGTTGTTGTCTTTATGTCTCTGTGCTTTGTTGGTGTTGGAAATTCTCTAATTGACTGAAATTGATTTTGTTACAAGGACGCATTGCTTGTTGCTTCGGTATTCATTAGGCTGAAGTTGATCCGGTATACCAATAGTAGTTATATGTCATTGATCGGCTATAGCTTCCGCAGAAGATCCTTACAGAATATAGAATAGAGCACTACAAAACACAAACAGAAAGCCTAGAGTCGATCGTAAGCGGGGAAATGCTGGGGAAACTTCTAGGAAAGACTCAACATTACACCTAAAGCTGCATCGACTTACAACGTAATCGGACCTGGGATCCTCGGATTATCGATTATCTATCATCCCTCGTCCACCTACACCACAAATAATACGAGTACAAACGATTGCCGGCCCACTGATCATGGATCGGGGCCCTAGTTAAAGAAGTGTAGCAATACAGGCTTAGCTGCCTGCGAAATGATTTATCCAGACTCAGACTTAGACAGTCGAGGGTCTGCCTGGCGTTTCAGCTAATCGCTTTCTTTAATATATATCTGGTATGCATGTATATATATTTACGTGTAGGTGTATATATCTTTATGTATATTTATATATTGGTGTATATTTTATGTATTCCTTTTCTGGTTTTGTTCAATTTACTTCTGCTTCCGCCGCGCTTGTTGTTGTTTTGAATTATTGCTTTTAGAACATGTCTTAAAAATATATTTATTTATATATTTATATATGCCTTAGACGTAGGTTTAATATATATATATATATCATGCAAATATAACATGTTTGCCGTCGCTGCCCTTCGCTAGCCTTCCCGTTTAAAAATATCTGCCCCGCGGGGAAGAAGCTGCATCTGGAATTCTCCCCAATGACCTCTGACCTCCTAAAGTAATCCACACCTGGTAAAGGTCCACTTCCGTCCAAACTCCCGATATGCCAGACTGTCCAATGGTCTGATCTTTGTCTATCTAAAATTGAAGATTTCCGTCTTTTCACTTCCTTAATTTGTTACCTTCTGATTTTTGTTTTTTGATTATTTATAAATGTGATGCACATGGCAAAGTCGCTAGACGCGATCTTTGGAAAATCTGAAATGATCGGAGTGTGGGGGTTCAACACTTTAAACGTTAAATGTAGTTATGTTACACTGCAACTATTTCTTGTCCGTCTTTAAATATCGTATATGTTTTTTTTCGGCTTTTGGTTTCGGTTCCCGCGATTTCCCTCTACTTTATAGGTAATGTGTAAGTTTGTTGGTCCGAGACTCGACAAAAGTCCTGGAGAGCGTTGGTTTGACAATTTGGCAAAAAAGTTATGAAAGGAACATTTTCACTGTTTCGGCATTTGCTTTTGTTTTTCCACTGGCTTTTCTCTGTTCTGCTGTCTCTGCTTTTGCTTTTGTTTTAGTTGTATGCTTTTTCCTGGGTTTTACGTCGCCTAATGCAAAAAATCTCAGACAGACAAAAAGCGCAACGTATTGTTGTTCTGTCAATTATAGAATATTTCCTTCTCTCTGCTATTTTGGTTTTCTCTGGTTTTTGTGTGGCTTGCAATTTTCCCCCACTTGCTGTGTGTAACAAATGTCGTTTACTTATCTAGCTGATAGGTTTTGTTTTGTTTTGTTTGGTTTTGCTTTTCCAATAATTTAATACTCCATATAGTTGTATATAAATATATTTTTCTATTACGCCCCCGATTGCATCGTCGTCGTTATCGTCATAATCCTCAAATATGTCTAGTACATCCATCGTCCGGGCGATTTGCCGGACGGAGCGACTAGAAAAAAATTAATTGCACATTGCGTGGCCTGCATTTCATCGACTTCATTTCCTTCCTTTTCCATTTTCATTTCCAATTTTCCACTTCCATTTTTGTGGCTCATCTGTGATCCTTTTTACACGCTTGTTTACAGATATATTTAGTTAAGTGTTTAAACATTTGCGATTTTGCGCGTTTGTTTTATAAATATTTTATTTACTTAATCGTACTATATGTTGTATGTATAATAGTTCATTGTTATATTTGCATATGCTCTTACCACGTAATTTGTTTAAGTGTTTCTTTTTGATTTATCGTAAGATCTGTGTCATGTGTCCTGTGTCCTGTCTGTGTGTGTCTTTGTGTTTGTCTTTAGGTGTATGTGGGTGTATCTTGTTGTATCTCAAAAATTGTGTGTTTCTTACATATTTAGGGAGTTGCTCTTTGCTTTTTGCAGCTTTCATTGTTCTGGATTCTCCATTGTTTTTAGCAAATAAATTGATTTATGCCTCGAGCTACGGAAATTCACTCTCTCACTTCGCTTTCATTGTCATATTTAATGCTTTAACATATTTGTCTAACTATCCACTGTTTAATTAGCATTATTTACCATTTTGCTTTCAATGTGAACACAAAAGTTATAGGTTTTTCCTCTACGTTCCCCTGATTCGATTGAAATAATGAGAAAGAGAACTTCAACATAGTTAATAACAAATTGCCTTCGACTTTTGCTCACATTCGCTTTTGTTTTTGTTCTTTGTTGTTTACTTTGGCCAATAAAGGATTTGTTGTACTTTAAAATAAATTCATAAATATAACTGTAAGCACAATTTTGATTTGGTTCATCCCCAACCCAGTCGAGAAATGAAAACTAAGCCCAACCGATTTTTAACATTTTCAAACTCGTTTTCTTAAATCGATTATCGTTGAAAGTACAATAACTTGTGGTTGGATTCCGCGTTTTGATTCAAGTAATTCCCTTTGTATATATTGCAGTTTACTTTATGTGTATAAGAGTGTATATTCTTGTATATATATGTGTATATATATATATCGATTTTAACTTTTAAAGTTACAACTTAGATACGTTAAGAATAGCAATAATAATGGTAATAATAATTTGCCTTTAATAATACGCAATTAAATAATAACATTTTCGCTATTATTGCAACATTTTTGCTTTATCTTTTTTCAACTCTATCGTTTTATTAGTAACCCCCTCGTTTTTTTTGTGATTTCCTTTTTTTTGTTTTTGCTTTCGTTTGTTGGTTTCTCATTACTTAAAAGTGGTTACGCCCCCTTTGGCCTGGTTGTCATCCGTGGGCGGTGGGCGTGGAGTGGGTGGGCGGAGGCCTCCGATTTTTTTGCTGTGTGAGTAGGGCCACGCCCACCCACGCCGCCACAGCCGCCCACCGCGATGGCACTCCACTCCAGTTGGACGCACAGTTTCCGTTTAATTTGCATTTTAAACGATTTTTGCTGCACACGTTGCATCTTTCGGGGCCAAGCGTTGTTCTTGCCGATGTTGTTGTAGTGGTTGTTAAATTAAAATTAATTTTTTGTTTGTGTTCACTCGTAGTTCGTCCTCATCGTATTTTTTTTACTTTTTCGAGTTATTTTTTTTTCTTTTTTTGCCATGCGTTAATATGTACGTATTTGTAATATACGTTAATTAATTAATTATAATATGTGTGTTTGGTTTATTGTTTGTTGCTCTTGCAGTTGTCTCGGTTTTTCTTGCTTAACGGATTTCATTTTGCCATTTGTGGAATACACAAATATGTAATATGTACTTTATTTGATTTATATTTATATATATGCAGGTATATATAATTTTAAATTATTTTTTCTCTTTTGCGCTCTGTGGTTGCAGCACTGCAGTGTGTGTCTGTGTGAGTGTGTGTCTGTCATTTGTTGCTAAAGTTGCTGTTGCATTTGTTGCTCCTGTTGCTGTTGCTGTTGTTAATATTGCTGCTGCTGCTGCCTTCGTGGTTGTTGCTTTTGTTGTTTTCATTGCGGTTGTCGGCGCCACCTTTTAATGGTATCCATTTGTAAATGCCGCAGGAATTAGTGGTCCCTGTAAATAAACGTTTCGTGGAGAACAAAACAAGCAAACACCAAAAATTATTCAAATAAAATACAATTTCTAGTTGCATAACTACGCACACACATATATGTATGTATTTATAAAAGTATAGGTAGATAAGTATTAATATATATAAAGTAAATATTAAGAGGTATACATATATGTACTGAATATAGAGATAGAAGTGGCAAGTTGTCGGAAGAAGAAAAATCGGTAATTTTCAAATTTGTATTTCGATCGCTAAACAAATAAAGAGATCTAAAAATTTTCACAGAACGCTGACCAGGCTTGATAAGGACGGAAAAGTCTGCATTTTTATTATTAAATTTATTGTGCAAAATAATAGATACAAAATACAAACACTGAGATATTTATGAGCTTATTGTGTTTGACATTTATAAACATAAAATCACATTTTAGATCGACTTTGTAGTTCAACTTGCTCTTTTTTCAATACTGTTCCACAAAATATAAAATCACTAATTTCATTAAAATGCATTTTTCCAGAGACTTCCACTGATTGTCCTGTCCTTTATCAAGCCCCGCCGACAGCCATGGATAATAAATATGTTTCGTTATGATTTATTTTAGTTTGCAGCGAGGCATGGGGGTATTGAAATATTGAAGTATGAACATATTCATATATAATACATATATGGTGTATACAATTTAAATAAATAATAATAGTTTAATTGAAACGGCCTAGGAAACTGTGCTTGTGACGTGCATACATATTTTTACGTTTATTTATTTTTTCTTTTTTTAATTTTGTTTGACTAGTTGTAGTTAAAAGAATTTGATTGTTAATAATTGAAATCGTTTAGTTGAAAAAAGAAGAGAACACGCTGTAGTTTTGTTGGTGTGCCTACCTTGTGCAACTGCGTTTGTTTTATACTCTTATTTCTTTTGTTTGCTTTCGTTTAGCTTTATTTTATTTGTATTTTTTCATATATTTTTTCGATTTAAATATATAATTGGTTTCTTTTACTTTTTGCATATCTTTTGTTTTGTTTTTGTTCTCTTGCATTTATATTTTTGGGTTATCAGTCTTTTATATATTAGCCATCGCAAAGTTCAACGAATAAATCTGTACGAAATGAAAGAGAAATACATACAATATATAGAAGGATAACGCAATAGTTTAGCTCTACATCGGCAGTCTCTCCTTATCTCTACGGTATGAGTGTGTGAGTTTTGTGTGTGTGTGAAGGATTCGGGATCGAATCGCAGGTCTCGAGACGCGAGATTCGAGACTCAAGGGTCATGTGGTTGTTTCGTATCGCTGGCTTAGACTCTAGCTCTAGGCCCAAGTCCAGAGATCGGGTGGTCCGGTGATCCGGCGATCTCGGGACCTGGGACTCCTGGCCGCAGGATCAAAAGGACGACTCACCGGGCTGTAGTTCAACGGGGCTCGGCTGACGGCGATGGGGAAGCCGGACGGCTGCGGACTGGTGGCCTGCACGTAGCCCACATTGTCGGCGGCCGCCGAGCTGTACATGTCGATGGTTGGGCCAGGCGAGTTGGTCGACGGGAATCCCTGCCGGGTGGCCGTGTTGGCGGCGGCGGCATGCGGCGATGCCGACGGTCCATAGCTGTGGGCGGCCGCAGCAGCCGCCTGATAGTTGTTCATCACTGCAAAAAGAAGGGATAGTTCCAATAATTCGTTAAAGGTGATCAGAAAAATTAAGTCACTCCTGTTAAAAAAGCCTTTACTAAACATTCCTCAATAAGTTTACTGTATTACAATTATATATATTTATATATTACAATAAATAAATAATTTAAATTGTATTTGTTTGGCAACATTTTATTTGGGAAACGGTACGTATGAGTAATAAGTCCATTTAGAAACTAATTTTTTCCGGAAAGAAATTCTTTAAATATTGTTGTGCTAAACATTAACATTAAATATGTATTTAAAGCAATCAAATGAAGTACTTTTAAATCACATATGTGAATCATTGAGTAGTCTTGCTTAAAGGAAATTGAACCTTAAAAAACAATTGATATTAATCGACCAAAAATGTTTATTTACTTTCTCCCCATAATTGATGGGCAGATATTTGCTTGTCTGACACTAGTAAATAGTCACAGATGATGACTTTTGGTGAACCGATTCGAGCTCCTTGTACACTATTTAAATTAGTTTTCTATTCCACCTGAACTTTGATTTTGCCCACCTAACTCTTCACCTGGAAATGGGGTCACTCACCTGACAGCGCCTGGGTCAGCAGCGGTGTATTGTTGTTGGGTGTCAGCTGCCCATTGGTTAGATCAACTGTAAGTGGCAAAAGAGGGCGAGAGGTGTGTCATTAGTGGGGGCGGGTGGCTAACGGTGGATCGTAACTAGGCGAGTAAAAGTCGGGCACATTTAGAAGGTGCCCGCGACACAAGAGTATACGAAAGTAATCAAGGCTGAGCTCTAAGGGTAATATGTGGGTATGTACGACGGGGAGTTGGGATCGGGTATATAGTTATATATATATTTATAGTGGGTATGGAGTGAGAGAGTATTCGAGTATGCGATTGTAATACATGTGGCTATAGCTCTGTTATATCGGTGTGCCGAGGAAGCAAACAATCAAAAGCGAAAGTAAACAACTCTAACTAGTCCCAGAACAACTACGATGCCAAGCGCAAACACAAAAGACGAACCAAAGAGCGAAAGGAAGTACGTACATATATAAAGTATAAATGGAGGGGTGAATGGGATGGCTGGGGGTTTTCGGGGAGGAAGCGCTAACTGGAACGCAGGTTATGAAAACACAAAGTGCTCGGTTATTAAACGAGCTTTGGGGAGAGGATGTTGACGCTACAGTGACAAAACAAAGCCAAAGCCAAAACTAAACCAAACCAAACCAATCCGAACCCATCCAAACTCAGTTACTACGCTTGGTTTGCCCAGTGATGTGCACTTTCCTTTGGGCGCTCCCGTTCGCTTTTCCCCTTTTTTTTGCCCCGTTATCATTGTTATCGCTTTTTTTCTGTGTTTTGTGGCTGTTCTCCCTTGTTATGGTCACAGCTGCAACAGCAAGTAAAAATACGCCAGCGCCAATATTGAAATGACAACAGAATGCGAATGCGAATGAAGGCAAGCGAAAAAATGGGTTGTAACGGGTTAGGGCTGGGATCGGAATAGGGATATAGTGGGAATATCTGGGGATGTCTGGGCGGGGGCGTGGGAGGAAACGTAGCAGATGCATTTCCTGCGGAAACACAAAAATTGATGTAACGTAACGTGACGTAACGTAACGAGGCTTGTCCCTGGCAGTCGTTCGCTTATTGTAAGCCACCCACCCATAACCCCATCATCCGCCCACAATCCGTTCCCACCAACCCACCCTCCCACTCACCCTTACGACCTTCGTCATCGCCGTTGTGCGTTTTATGGCGCCAATCAACTTTGGCTTACGTTTAGTTTACGTTTTTGTGCGAAATCTCGGTGCGCCATGTTGTTTTCATTAGTGTTGAGTCTGGGACTCTGATACAAAGAAGCGCCCGAAAACCCGGAATCCGTATACGGACCGAAATAAAGAACCCGTAAAAGCAGTAGCAGCAGCAGCAGCAGTTGCAATAGCAATCGCAATAGCGGCAACGGTTGCCTTTTGTAAATAAATAACTTATTTAGCCGGGGTTTTTTCGGGCTGCCATTGCATGAAATGCGTTTCCGCTGGAAATGGGAAAGTGAGTGGGTTGTGCGGGTCTTTGGGTCTGTGGGAAAAATTGCAATTGTCAGTCCTGCGGTTGCGGAAAAACAACTGTTACCAGCTGTCGACCTGGCAACCCTGTTACGGCCACAATAAAAGGTTAAATTGAGACATTTCAACAAACAAAATCGGTCAACAGAAGACATTTACATGATCACGATACTACACGGTACAGCTTTGAGATAACGTTATTTTCAGGGAGGGGAGAAGAACTTATATTAAAACTAGGGTATACAGATTGAAGTAGGTTATACATGTTTTATGGTTACAGCTGTTCGCTACTAATGAGTGTGTTACATGATACATTTTGTTGGTAAATTAAATGCTAGATCGAGCTACTTTTTCGTCCGACGCTTGAGCTAATTTGGTATTGTTAGTTTTTGATGTGTGTTAAATGTTTTATAAAACAAAGTTTCTCAAACGGAAGAGCACTACACAGAAATGTATATATGTTTCTCCAACTACGACTGGCGCCCAACGTGGGGCATTCAGTTTACAATTTTGTGTGTTTTTATTGCGCGCTTTGCTAAAACTTTTTCTATCATCTAACGGTTTACATACAGTTAATAATCGTAAAGTGTGAAAATTTGTTCGGATATGGAGCCAAAAACGGTTATAGGTTCAATATAAAGATGAGTATACGTATATAAAAAGAGTATAATGCTTGTACGAATATGCATTGGAACAATAAGACGACCATTAGCTGACCTTGTTGACTGAGGAGTGTTCTTTGTCGCCGATTCTTTTCTGGTTGCTGCTGCTACTTCTTCTGTTGTTGCCGCAGTGTCCTTGCCAAGTTGCTGTCAGAATATTACGCATACGCCCCGATGGCCACTTTGTCACTCACTTGGCCCCTTCAAGTCCACTCCCTTCGGATCGCTAATAATCGGGGGTTGACTGCCTGAAGCCCCAAAAAGATAGACTTTTGCTTGGGTTTTTTGGTTTCGGCTTTGCATCCGCATTTATTTTATTTTCACTTTATTTATCTTAGTTTTGTGCATTTATTTAGTTAATAACTTTTCGATTTCGATTGCGATTTCGTTTTCCATTTCGATTTCGTTTCTGCGCAAGCAAATGGTTTTCTTGTTCTCGTTTGAAGCGTTTTCTTATAAATCACAGTATATACGTGTAAAATACATATTGGAATATGCGTGGGTGTGTGTGTGTTCGTGTCTGTGTTCGCTATATAGGTTTTTGTAAATAACTCGCAAGCGTTTGGTAATTGTCAATTTAAATAGTTGCAAAATACCTCGAAGCAGTTTCCGGGTATCCGGATGCCACAGAGTTGCGATAATTGCATTCAATTAACTAAGTAACAGCTTATCCATCTATATAGAGTTATTGACCGATCTTTTCGTATTAGGTTCGATAGTGTGTGTGTTTAAATAGCTAGGGGTGTGTGTGTGTTTGGGTGAGACTTACATGGAGAGGACATAGAAAAATTGTATTTTTCATCAACATAAGAGAGATTTTTGGTTTTTCTTTCTTTTTTTTGGCGCTGCTAAGTTGCTCTTCGAAAATGGATGGACATTAATATTGTATTTTTCGTTATTGTACAAATCAAATCGATTCACGCTTCGTATAAAATGAGTACTCAACTTAGTTTGTAAACGTCGTATATTAAATATGTATATATAAATATTCATGTATATAAGGTATAGTATATAGGTATGTATATAGTAATGTCTATATATGTACTTTAAATAGAAATGTCGAAAAATTTCGCTCGTTTTTGCTGTTAGCCATTTTGGAATTCTTGCGATGCACCGATGAAGGAAGGAATTTATATAGTTTTGAATGCTTCAAGGCTTCAATTCGCATGTGGGCCAAATGCGGTTTGCTAATACATATGAAACGGAATAACACAGCTACAGATAATGGGCAAATCTACTAATTAATGAACTTTAGCTATGGCAAAAATCTCTGCACGTTTGATAATTATCTAAAAACTCATGGGACCACCGACAACAACGGAAGCAAAAACAAAATCGGACTGGGAAATGGATATGGATGTGAATGTGGATGTGGAAAGCGTTGGTGAAAAAGGAAAAATTGCATACATAATGTGCAGCAAATTAATTAAAGGATAATAATGGCACTACATGTGACAGGCCTGCTAAAATTTGTTGTTATCTAAATGTTTTTCCATGTGCACTTTCGCTGTTGTTGTGGGGGTAGCGACTAATTTATGCATACAGGGACTACAAATGAAATTTGCATTTAAATGCTACGGTAAAATAGTTTTATAAATAATAGATAGGCGTCCCTGAAACGGGATGCAAATGGTCGCAGGTCAGGTCGGGGTGTAAAAAGCGAGACATTCTATTTATTTTCGAGTGGGTGAGTGGGAGGAGGGTATGAAGATCGAGTATAGTTCGCTATAAAGTATCGTTATACAAGTATTGTGTCACATTTCTAATTAGGTTTCTAGAGACAGATATTTAAGTGTACGCATGTCTGTGAGTATTTGAGTGATTATGCTGGCCTAGATCTAAACGATTCTAAGTACTCGATTATATCCGATTACGAAACTGCACTAGGATTGGTTAGTACGGGTGCTAGCTGCTCTATAGATACGATATAATAGGTTTTATACGTTGGGGATGCCTCTAGTCACTACGGATACTGCTGCGGTAATTGGTTAACTGCTCCAACAATATGCGGAATACTTTTCGGGAGAGTCTAGTACGTAAGTTTCGTGTGTGTGTGTGTCTCATCTATAAAGACTGCAGCTCTAAGTGTTACTGTGTGTGTGTGTCGAAGATACATTTTCTATGTAGTTCTTTTCAAATCTCTCGTTAGTTCTTAGCATGTTTGCTCCACTTTTGAGTATTTCCGTGGTCTTAGCAGTGGTTTTTACTTTGGTTGTTGCAGTGGTTACCATTTACCGTAGTTACAAGCTAAACTAACGCTCTGGGTTGCATATCTCTTCCAGCTGCTGTTGGCATTGGAGTTGTAATGGCTGTACCTACTTGTCACCGTTCAAATGATTACATGGTTACTTGACACAGAAAAAGGGCGGCAATGTAAACGGAACTCTGGATCTCACATTCTCATTAGCATTCTCTTTCTCATTCTCATTCTCAATCTCAGACTTGTGCGATTCGATTCGATTTGGTTTAGGTTCTCGTTTAGAAATTTATGTTGCCCAGAAACTGCGATTTGATGGCCGCGGATCGAGCCGTGAGCGCCGTGGCCAGCGGCAGGGTCAACGCCTGTTGGTGGTACGCCGACTGGGCGTGGCCAGGGGCGCCACCGGAGGGGGCGACACCCGCCGCCGCAACAGCAGAGGCGGCGCCAGCGGGGGCAGCTCTGCTGCGGCCCGGGGCAGCGCTACAAGCGGTACCATAACTTCTACCGATGCCGCATATTGTCAAGCCTACAAAATCATACGAGATACAAGATAGATGAAGAGAGAGATAGACAGAGAGGGGGGCAAACAGAAAGGTACAGTCTGCCTGGACCTGCAAAACTATCGATGGCTAATGGGGCGGATAGATTAAAAAAATAAAAATTCTATCACAAAAAAAAATTTTTACAATAATTTCCCTGAAAGTTAGCCAATAATGAAATAAACATTGTCTTTAAAGGTCCCCTTATATTTTAGCCGTTTTTGGTATAAAATTCCGATTGGGTTCTTAGAAATTGGAACGTCACTAACAATTTATCGATCGGATCACCATTAGTACATTTCGAATTCCTACTCTTATGGTTTTACGACAATTTTATCAAAATTCGATTGGTTGCAATAGGAAACAAAGGCTTTAAAACCATGGGATAGACATATAAAATATCGAAATATAAAAAATGTTTTGTTAGTCTCATTTTTTTTGTTTTTTTAATATAAGCCAGCAACAGGAGTAAAAATAAATAAAAATCGATTTTTTCGATAGCCGCATCGATTGCTTTACAGTTTTACAGCTCAGGCAGAGGGTTCTCGAGGACATGGGATCAATTATATCAGCTAGAAGCCCTAGTAGCCAGTGTTCAGTGTGTTCAGTGGTGGGCAAATGATAAACTCAAGGCCAAGCAGCGTCAATGACATATATATTTGCAGGATGCGCAGGACTCAATTCTATGGGGTTCTAGATGTCAAATGTTGCGGCGTATGTGGTGAGTGTTTCTTGGATTGCCTCCGATCCTCAGCTATTTGTGCATTGATATGACGAACGCTTTGGTTTTTTGGTTTTCTTTGGTAAAACAGTGATTTATTTCAATAATGATCATGATCTCTGAGTAATACTCGACAGATAGTCAGATTGGGCCGGGATCTTCCTAGGCCATGTAGTCGCCAATCAGGATCCGATTCTCCGGCACTACGCCCATCACACCCGCTGCAAAAGCAAACACAAAGACAGAAGAGAAATAATAAAGAGTAAGGCAGGCTAAAGTGAATCGGAAACGGAACATGAATGTTTGACTGTATCTGATGATGAAGAAGACACGAAACGGGCAAAGACATCGAGGGCTAACGAATCGGCACAAGAACTAGTTGAGTTAGTAATGCTGATGGTAGTTATCACACGATGGCTGTTCGTCATATCAAGGGGCACAGAGTGTTCGGCTCGGTGGGGTTTCGATGGGTACTGTTTTTGGGTTTTAGTAGTCACTGGGGTTGCTTCACACTCTCACTCACATACAAATAATGGCCAGGGGTTCGCGCGTATGTACGAGTATGTGTGCACAGGGTCAGGCTCATGTGGGTGTGGGTGTCGTTATGGCTGTGATTGTGTCTATGTGGGCCGGAGCCGCACTTACCAGTTGGATAGGGCAGTCCAAAACTGGGATAGCCCGAATACCCGCGACCAGCGGCATAGGCAGCATAGGCAGCTGCCGGAAAACCTGTTCGGAAAAATATAGAAACAATATGCATTAGCTTCTGGATCAGGTCAATTACTAAATTCACTCGCTCACCTTCGGGCAATGTCCCCAGTCCCCACATGATGTTATCTAAGGGAGTCGCATGGAAAACAAGAGAGAGCACAGAAAAGAAAGGCATAAAACAGATAATTACTGGCACTCACACGATTGATTTATCAGAGCTAATGAATTCAAACAAAAGAGTATCGAGATTATATCAGGACTAATTGTTATAGAGTGTAAATATGAGCGACTGCTTTACTATTCGTAATCGTAATGTGTACTTAGAGTTCTAGTCAAGTGTGAGTGGCAACTAAGGAACTGCCGCTATGTAAATACTAGTTATATATGTTTTGAGTTCTAAGAAATGTTCTGCGACTGCACTCGATTCTTTTTTCAGTGCATAACTAGTGGGCGAAACGAGTTCTGCCCCATTCTGGTTATCTTCTGCATTAACAGCCTTGATTTGAGCTATGTTTATATAGAGTTATATGTAGAGTTACACTTTTCCGATATATGACACAATTCTAAACACTTATTAGATATGTACGTAGTTATAATCTAAGACATTTAGTATCTATGCTAGGAGTATAAATTTGAATAATTTCTCTAATTATAAATGTTGTAACTTAAATCTTCCAGTGAGGGCAATTCTAAGGCCTGCGTTGTGCATTTCTACAAAAATGCTCCATATCTCCAGGCCATTGCCCCGCACCGCAACTAATGTAATAGGAAAACTCAAGAAAAGAAAAATCAAATTCAAAACTATAAGCAATGTGGGCTAGATAAACACTACAACTCAAGGGGAGCATATAGGAAGGTTGACAGCTATTAGATGTTAATCAAGAAATTTGTATTAATTTTGCTTCGGCCTGGGGTCACTTCCGTTCCGCTTTCTCAGCACTTTCCCATCACTTTCTCTGCCTCGTTCGTTCATCTTGGGCATCGAAGGGCTGACGACGGCTCGTTTCCTGTACATATATCATCCTTCGACTGTTGCAACTTAGGCTAATGTTACACTGGATTTTACTAGAGTTGAATTTGAGTTTGATTCGAATTTGAATTTGAGTTTGAATTTGAGCGCTTAATGCGCTTATCGTAATGCAATAGATGTGTGTATGTGGTTATTTATGCATGTATAATAAATAGCTAGTTTCGAGTTTAGTCAAATATTAATGGCTATGGGCAAACAATATGTGTTTTTGTATGCGAGTACTCGAACTGGGAGACGACGGGCGGCTGGGGGAGTTTAGGGCAGTCATCAGCTGTCTGAGCCGTAATTTGCCTGGGTACTGTAATTGGACCGAATGCCCTGCATTCTGGCATTGCGATTGCACATCCATTATCCATGATCCATTTCGGAAAATTACACTCCGACAGCTGTCCGGCCGCTACGATGGCATCTGCCCAGTCCGGTCATCAATTTTTCAAAACTAAACTTCGTTACACACATCGCATTTCTAATACTGGCTCGGCCTCCTTCGGCTGGTTTACTTAATCCAACTTAATCGCTAATTCGATACATTTGCTAGGTTCGAATCCGATTTGCCTCTTCGGCTGCGGTTCTAGGTTAATACGCCTTTAAAGAGCTATTGATATGAGTTTACGTTTACGTATAAGTTGTAAGAAAATGTTTGATATACAAGAGAATCCGTTTTAAAACATAAATGAGTGTTTCCTATGGAGCTGATGACTTTTGGTTTTTTTTGTCGGTTTAATTTGAAACATTGTTAGTTTTTTGTTACATTCTTAGGTTCTAGAAAAGTCGTCAGGTGTCTAAGACATAATACGATCGCCGTCTAAGGTCTAAGGTTATCGAGGGCCTCGATAAAATCTAAGCAGCTCTCTAGGACCTGCACTTAGCCTAGATGTATAATATCTTAAGTAAGTCAAGTTCGCTTAAACTCTAAAGAAAGAAAACGAATGCGCCGCTATTTGAGTAATTTAGTTAAATAACGCATACGCCGCGTGGCCTAAACGCAGCTTAGACAGTCACAAAATATAAGTTACGATATATAGTACATATGGCATAAGTAAGTACATGGCTAGTTGTAAGTAGAAGTACACGTAATCCTAGGCCTAGCCGCTTAACATAATTTTTGGACATTGAGACGGAATGAGAGTCATATATATAGGTGTAGTTGAGTGTGTTCTTAGCGTGTTTTGTGTGTGTTTTTTGTGGGATAAGGATCGTCAGTTTGAACTATCATCAGATAGTGAAAGTTTAGGAAAATCACTTGAATCTTATCGCATTTAAGAGGCTTTGTGCAGTCAGAAAAAGAATTTTAAAATTAAATTAATTTAAGCCATTACAAAAATAGAGCAAAATGCTGAATTAGAAAGGATTTATTGTAATAAAATACTTGAAATACTTTAATACTTTTGCTCTAAATTTAATTTAATAATCAAATTTATTATTTTTGCGTATTAAAGCACAATTTTAAATATTTTGGATTTTTGAACGGTTTTTAAATCTGATAACGGGTTCGAAAGAATTTTTAACTTTTAAAAAAACCTCTAAAAAATGAAGTATTTTTTAAATCTGGAAATGAAAAATATTTTGACATACACAACCCCATAAAAGCCATGTTGAGTATGATTCCAATTGATAGCCGCAGAATTTGGGCTGCTGATTTTCGAATTAAGGAAACAAGGAAGATTGTTTTTCAGAAAGGTATTTGCAATTAATGCTGGTGGATCTTGAAAGCCAAAGAACACCATTTAGAGGGCTCACTGTGGCCTGGGCGGTCAGATTCCGGGCAACTGGTACAGCGAGGCCGCTGCTGCAGCCGCGGAATTGGTGCCCGCCCCCATCTCCATGCCGCCCTGCATGGCCAGCAGTTCGCTGAGCGGATAGTGGGCGGCGGCCAGGGCGGCATTCTGACGCAGTTGGGCCTGCTGCAGCTGGGCGGCGGCGGCAGCGGCAGGAGCATTGGCGGCGGCCGCCTGAAGGGCGCCCAAAGCGGAGGCGGTGGTCGGTGCACGGAGACCGCTGCTCACTGCCGCTGCGGCCAAAAGGCGCTTGTAGCCAACAACGGCAGCCGCATCCGCGTAAAGGGAATTGGCCAGGGCGGCATTGCTCTGGCCCGCTGCGAAGTGCAGCAGAGAGGGCGTGGCAGGCGGAGCGGGATTGGCGAGCGGCAGGAGACCAGGTGCAGCACCGGCGGCAGCGGCCACCACTTGGGCCAAACTCTGCTGCTGCTGCTGATGTTGCTGCTGCTGTTGGGCCGCCACCACCTGCTGTTGTTGCTGTTGCTGCTGGGCGGCCACAACGGCGGCCGCCGACAGGTGGGCGGGCAGCGGATAGGGGGTGTAACGCAGCGAGCCCAGCAACTGGCTGTGAGAGTGTGTGTGCGGGTGGTGGGCGTGGCTGTGGTGGGCGGGTGACTGTGGGTGTGTGTGGTGCAGCTGCTGGTGGTGCTGTTGCTGCTGCTGTTGTTGCTGCTGCTGCTGCTGTTGGTGCTGCTGCTGCTGGTGCTGCTGCAGCACGGATGCGGCAGCGGCTAAACTACTCGGCAGCAAACCGGCGGCGGCGGACGTGGCCGCCGTCGAATGGGCGTGGCTGCTGCCCCAGACTACCAACTCACCGTATGCAGAGCGACCGGCAGCCCGCGTCTTGGCCAGATTGGCCGGCAGCATCACCTCCTTCGGCTGCGCCTTCTTGCACTCGACCTGCAAGGATAAACGAAGAATTTTTTGAATTTCATATTTAAAAATAAAAAAAAAGTCATAAACATAAGAAAGTTTCTTATAAACTGTAATTAAACTCCTAAATGGCGGAGATGAAAGTCACAGCAAAAGATTTTTCATTTCATTTTCGTTGTTTAAATCTTTTCAAAAAGAGTGTTTTTATACTCTTTTAATTTGCTATATTCACACTTAACAAAATAAAATTAATTTCATAAAAAAATCTTCAGCATCTTTTTTTGTGGCTTTTAGAAATGCTTTGGTTTAAAATACTCAGAAAAAAAAGCTTCTTGTACTTTGCCCTCATGACCGACAATATTATTTCCATATTTTTCAACCAAGTTCGAGGCACAACCGATTCCACTACAATAAAATCCCAAATTGATGACCGATTTAGGGCAGTATATTCCTCTGTATGGCCAAATAAAAACTTAAAGCTGAGTGGGAGGATAAGCCCCCTCGGTTGCGATCCAGACCGCCACGCTTCACTTACCATTTTGTTGTTTATCTCGTGGAAATGAATTTCGCAAACTTTGTCTACCACATCTTCGCTTTGAAATGTAACGAAGCCAAAACCTGCAAGAGAAAAGAAGCGAAGTGAGTGAGTGAGAGTGGGCAAAAAAGTTTAAGGGCTGCAAAAATTGAACGAAATATGCTTTTGTGTGAGCGAGCGGCTAAATAATTTACTCAAGTGTCGAGACCGAGACAGAGGCGGTGGTGGAGCTTCACCCCCTAAACCCTCTGAACCCCCTCCGTAAGCGCTGCCATTTCAGGCCGGGATAGCTGTCCTCCGGCTGACCTCAATATGCATCCCCTGCAGGGCCTCAAGTGGCGGCTGGGCGAGTAATTCAAACACTGGCCGCTCCGAGTTTACATAATAAACTTTTGCCAGCGGACAGCAGACCCCCTTGGCCCCTCGACGACCGCCTTGGGATCGGGCATAATAACTTTGTCCTAATGGCCGGCCAGTAGAGCTATTTTTGATATCCTCCAATTGGAGGCTGACGAAGAACTTAAATTCCTGGAATGTCAAGTCATTCGGGGGGTTCTTACGGCCCGAATTGGTAAAGGATTTATTATGGCTTAATTAAATTTCTTCCATTTGTTGCCGCTGCAATTTGGGCTGGGCAAAGTTTAAGTTGCTTGATTTTCTTTTCACTAAGGAGTTTTTCTAGGAGTGGATTCCATGATAGTGCTTCCCTTTGTCTATCTTTACTCCTTAAGTGCAAATTTTTTCTTTGCAATTACTTATAGTTTGTAATATTTAGAGAAACGTATATGTTTTTAAAATTTAGACTAAATTCTATTTTCTAGAGATTGCCAAATATTTCATTTGAAGGGATAACTATAAAAGTTCTAAATGCATGAAGTTGTTAAAATCTTTCCTTGGAATTATTTCCGAAATCAAAGGATACAATATGGTGGATCCAAAAACGAAGCTAAAATGGCTTAATTATATATTTCGAAATTGCCATGTCTTTCAAAACCCCGTTCAAGTCACTCCTTGAAAGTAGCCAAAGTAAGAGGCGACTTCCCATCTGATTGGGTTCTATAAAATTCCCTTTCTGGCCTTCGCTATCCTCTTAATGCCTCGCTCCTCTACTCCGACTTTGTCCTTTCCACCGATTTCACCACTTCGGTCTTATCGGGGCTTTTCAATTAGCGCAATTGTCTGAGATTTCACATGGCCGAAAAAGAAGGGCTCTCGCTCTCTGTGCAATTAGCAAGGCCAAGTGCAGACACCTGATGCCCCGGCGCCCGCATTGCTGTTTGTGTACGTGTGTTTGCCTTGTCGTGCGGGCGGTGGGCGGCGGGGATGAAGGGGGGCGTGGCCAAGCTGGGCGTAACTGACAAATTAGTTGAAACAAGTAACAGTAAACACGCAGGCTTATTAGCGACATGTGCCGAGCTGAAGAAGCTCCGAGGTCCTTTTCGCTAAGACAACGTGCGGGCTGCTTCCTTCGCGTCCTGGAGTGTGTTTGTATTTGTTTTAATTATATAAAATTAGCGCACGTTGCAATGTTGCATGTTAGCTACACGGCAAAATATATTTTTAGGTAATCGTATTGAGAATTTTATTTAGCAAAATGGAAGTAAAATATTTTAAGCCCATTATGTAAATAAAATAGTTAGATAGGTACTGCATTATTACTCTCTAACAGAAAAAAGACTTGAAATCAGTTTGTAAACAACTATCGTTTTTAAAGTTTATTTAAACCCTAATTGAAGAGCCTTTTCCCTGTGTGTCTCTCGGGTTTCTGAGGCCTTCTATTCCGTTGCAACTTCATAAATCAGCCGTGGAACAAATGAAGCCGGGCTCTTTTCGGCTTGCTCCACGCTCCACACGTAACTCAATCAAAAATGTATCTGCTGGATACAAATGCGCCCGGGTAGCATGAGGAATGAGCCAATGCTCGTTGCCCAGTTAATTCCGTGGCTTGAGGCTTATGGCCCTTGGCTCCGAGGTAAGTCTGAGTTTTGAGCCCCAGCGCCCGTCCGCCATTTTTACCTGTCGAAAATTTCCCGCAGGACGGCGCTGGAGCGATAGGAGCTGACGATGGTCTTGGCAACTGCAAAAATTGCACACTCATGCATGTTATTGCCAAGAAGCGGACACAGATATATGCTCTAGGCGCATGGGAGGGGGTGGTGGGGTAGGACCCAAAGCCAGCTGCTGTTATGACTGCGCTGCGCCGGCTTGCCAAAAAGAAAAATTACAAAATTTTCAATTTTAATATTAGTGGCGGCTGGCGACGCCAACTGCCAAGCCGGCCCCCAAATGTTCCCCGATCCTCTGCACCAACCACCCACCCACACACACCCCAACCAACTAAAACTACCCATACACAGGCACCCAAAAACACCCATCCCACCCACAACGGGCTGCTTAGGCGCACGTTGGGCATGTCCTTGGCTTGCCAAATGAAATTCATAGCATAGTTTCGGTCGCAGCTCGGCTGTTTTGAACTCTACATTTGTACAGCGAAGATTGCTTAAAGGGAACTTTACTAAAGACTTTTAAAGTGCAGTATAAAATACGAATTTTGGGTAGCTTTAGGCCACAACAGATGAAAAAAAGGTAATGCAAGATAAATAACTAATTACTTAATACAAATATTTATTAAGCAATACGTTCTTTTTTATTAAATATTTATGACATTAAATAAATATTAAAATGCATTATTAAAAATCATAAAATTAAAATTTATTGAATCATTAATGTGCCACCTTAAAGAGTTCCCCTTAGCGCATCCTCACTGTAATTGCAATTGCCTTCGCCCGCGTTGTTGTCATTCCCGTTGTTGTTATTGCCATTCGGGCCTGCCTATATTGTTTTATGGCATATTCATATATCGCTTCCTATATCTTGTTATTTTTTATCCATGTGAAACGGTTGTAGCTGCAGTTCTGGGCCAACTGCCACCGGTCTTGTTAGCTGGAAAGCGCCGGTGCAATTTTCAGTGACCAGGCTTACGAATATATGTGTTTTTGAGTTTGGGCTTGGGTTCGGTTGAGTTTTGTGCCACCATGTTAGGATGTCTGTCTATTTGTCTATCTGTCTATGTGTCCGCTCGTCCATTGGTGTGTGTGTCGCTGGGCTGCACACATGATTTATGAATGAGTAACAAACTTGCTGCCGTGTAGCCGGAGCAACCAACGACGTCTTTCCACTTTTCTTTTTATTTTTCTTCCTTTTATTTTCTTTTTTCCCGTTGCCCCTTCTTTATTATAGTTGGCGTGTGTGTGTGTGTGTGTACGTGGCAATTGCCACACTCATACAGATACAGATACTATATAGGGGGCTCTCGGATCGGATCGATAAAATGCAATTACAGGCATATCGCAAGTGCCAGTAGGCAACGGACTCCGACTCCTCATGGCAATAAGGTCGTACATCGTACATCGTCCGACTGTACAAAAAGTCGCCATCGATGTCCTCGTCCTCGTCCTGCGGCTCCTGACCCATCCTCCCGACTCGTGGCAATGAAGGCTCCTGCTACAACTAATACCCTTTGATTAACGACACACATTTTCTATTGACCTGGCCGCTGGTCGCCTGCCTGTGAAGTTGGGCAGTTGGCTTTTACCGCTCGCCAGAAGTAACAACAACGAACGCCTGCATATTTCATCCGGCGATCGATGCACGCAATTGTAATTTGCAAGGCTGACATGTACCGGCCAAAATGAATTGCTCGGGCAATGAGTCGTGTCACTGGCTGAACGGCTAAACTGTCCACCCAATGCATTTTTAATTGGAAAATTGGCAAATCACAAAATCGCCAAAGCAGGTAATTCGTGGAAATTTCTTCAAGTGGTTAACCAGAGTCATTATGGTTTCTCGGTTAAATCGTTTGGTTTAATGGGACTTTCGACTTTGTATTCCTTATACTTCTGAATTTGTAATATATTGATGTGCTATATTTCAATCCAAGGGCACAAAAAGCTAATGTAGTAATGGATAGTTCATATTTTTCTGTCAACATCATTTATAAGTGCCTCTCCTAAGCAATTATATTTTTATAAGCAAATTTGTAATTATATAATTATCATATTATTGTTTTACAGTACATTATAAACATATTGTTACATATTCTTCTAATATTTTAGATTTCGAAATCTCTACCACTCTACTTTTAATTGGAAAAGTCGAAAAAAGCTAGCAGGAAATTCGTTAAACATTTGCGGAACTCGTTTATACTGCTGCTTGGTCCCCGAGTGCCTAAATCTTTGATGCGATGACTGGGCGTCCTTCGCATTATTTTTAAAATGCCTCATATTTGTTTTTATTGGCTGCCGCGGCCACTTTCAAGCCTTCGTTTTTTGGTTTTTATGTATGTATGACTGCATCATCATGCAGTTTCAGCGTACTCCAGCGTCCAATTAAGCGAAATGTTCTGTGGGCCCACGGCTCTATCTCTGTAGCCCCGCCCCCCCTTCGACGCCCACCCATTTTTTTGCGCTTATCTGCGATGCGGCGCACAGAAGTATGCTACAATTTTTTATGGGCCGCGCACAAGCAAAAATCATGTTTTCTTATTCCCGTGTGCGTAATTTGAAGGGCGCAAAAGTTAACAATGTCCGGTGGTGGGGGTGGGATGTGAGGTATACCAGGGGGCGGGATGAGCCGAGGGGGCAAGTGGCGGAATGATTGTGCACCAACAACTATTGATGCATGCGGCTGTTCGTATCCGTGTGAGCTAATTACTTTTGAGCAGTGGCAAGGACCTCTGTGGTTGTGCATGTGGATGTGGGCATGGGCTCAGCGTGTGTTTTTGGTTTGTGCAAAATTGGGCACATCAATCTTAATGCGCCGTGTCTCAGGTTGTAGTCGGATCCCCGATAGGACCTCACTCCTCCGCCAGAGGGACATGTCAATGGGATTCGAGACCCGGTCGCAATGCGAAATTCGGGGCGTCATTTAAAACTTTAATAAGCAAAATTGACAACGACAAGGCTTCGGAGGACACAGCAGGACTCGAAATGGACACGCACTGGGGGAAAAGCCACAAAGACACAAAAAATCGTTGTTTCTAGGAAGTTTTAAACAAGATTTTTAAACTATGTAAAGCTATTATATTCTAAATGTTCCTTTTTTAGTGTTTAAAATGTTTTAATGTCCATGTTATAACACAATTTCAAATGATCATTCCAAACTTGCCTTATTGTCTGAAGATTTCTTCAATTATTTTCACAAATTACAATTTTGAAAATATCTCATTTAATATCTTATCTGTTAAACATCCGATAAATTCATTAAAACTGTATAAAATTCTGCACTTACAGCGCCGCTGGTTGTCGGATTAATAAAATACCAGTTTTTAAAAGCTGACCAATTTTCTGGCAGTGCACGGCAAGCCGGACATTCTGACAGCCAGTCGGATGCCGGACGGACAGCTGGACAAACGCAATGGACGCAGTCGTGCGCTACAAGTTCGTGTAGCGGATGTACACTGGAGATTTAAGCCTTCTGCCGGCCAGCGCACCTCAGCTGCTGACCTCGCTCGCCAGCACCTTTGAACCGCCCACTGGCCACCCACTAACCACCCACACCCACTCTTACCCCACCATCAACCATTCACCAGCCACCGGCGTAAGAGGATGGCCCGTCTCTTATGGCCCTTATATCCGGTTGCATTGGCAGGTAATCTTTTCGGGTCCTTTTACATCCTGTTGCCCGGCCATTTTAATGCCCCGACAACGTTTTAAAACTGTATTAGCCCTTTGCTTATGAGCATCCTGCCATGCATGATACATTGACATTGTGCAAGAGTGTAGGAGTGTTTGAGTGTGTGCATTTGCTAAGCTCTCGCACTTCCGGCTCGTTAAAGTCCGGAAACGGGCTAGCAAATGCTTTGTGGCATTCTTGCGCACCAACAGCGATGGCGATAACGATAGGAAAAAACTCACCTCTGTGCCGATTGGTCTGCTTATCAAACATCAACATGGCATCCTCGATCTGTAAATAGTCAAAAAGGAAAAGGTTGCTTGTTAGAAGAGTTGAAAATATTAAATAGTTTAGTAAATGCTTTAATTTTAATTTATCCAAATTTCCGAAAAAGATTCTTTCATAATATAAAGTTTTAATAATTATTTTAAACAAATGCTTGGACAGCCAGAAAGTTGTATTGTGGTAGGACAACCACATATACACACACATATAGACATATACACACACATACTTATACGCAAACACACTCATACATTATTGCATAACTGACTGTTCCTTAATTTAAGCGCTAAAACCTAAAGCTAGTTAACTGTAAATATTATATGGTCATCCCTTTCTTTCATGTACTTTAACATAAGAGATCAATTGTACATAGAGTTGTCTCGCTCACACGAATGAGCGAGCACAAGGGAGAGCGTGGTCTGAGGCAGCATTCTGCGTTATACCTTCGAATGAAGCGGTTGTGAAATAAAAGAAAGACTATTAAAATACAAATTCGGAGTGCGTTTAACCTATTACAGTATTGATTTGCTAGAATAAAATCGAGTATTTTTCAACAGACTTCAAATTGCTCCTCACACTTTTCCCCTTGGTAGGAATGGCCATTTTTCATTTCCCAACCCATTTCCCGCGACTTTGCTGCACTTGTTCGCTTCTTTGTTTCAGTTGGTGCATAAGCATTCGAAGTTTGCCTCCTCGGTGCGAGCAACTCAATTAATGGCCTGAATAAATGTTCGCAGCAGACAAAACTGCTGCTAATTGCAAAGTGAGTGCGCACAATGGCCGACACACACACACATAGAGTGACCAAGCCAAGCGACCCACCCAACCAACCGCCCTACAATACACCCCCTTTAACGCCCACCGCTTTGAAGAGGGCGCAAAACTTTTACCCATTATGGCGCAAAAGAACTTATAATGATAGTTGACTGTCAAACCAGCGCACTAACTAACTAACTAACTGCGCTGACTTTCCACTGGCTGACTGGCTCATTACAGACCCGCTAACTGGACATGAGGGAATGATGGACTGGCTGACTGACTGGATGACTGACTGTACCACCGTCCGATTGTCATTTGATATTTTAATTGACGCAGAAAATGAATGCACCGAATGTGCTGCTAAATTGGCCATCACAATCAGATTGAGGCTCAATTGCAATGGCCAACGGGAATTGTGCACTTGTTAAATTGAGGCATTAATGGCAGATGTCAGATATCAAATAAATTTGGAATTCAGACAATAACATGAGATATTTGGTTTCATAATATTTTGTTTGGTCTTAATTAAGGGGCATGCTTATTGATGCTGTTTAATTGAAATTTATCAAATGTCTTTATTGACTGTGCTTGATATTAATACCAATGTTTAAATGTATCATCAGTTAAGTTATCAATATCACAGATTGGATTATTTACTACCAACGAGGTTTTGGTTCTTACTTGCCAATAATAAAATCTAAAGCTGACAGTATTGGCCTTACATTATTTTGAAATTGAAGAGAGTCAATTTATAAAGCATCAGGCAAATTGCCCAATTAGCTGATAAACGTATTAATTCGGGCGCTTTAAATTTAGTGTGTGTGATTATTAAAAGTGTGATTGATTGCATGGGCAATTAAACTAATACTTTAATTACGATTTTAAAGTGATTTTCATATGATCTGGGGAAAATCCCCTCTTAAATTCTTTAATACTGCGAATGTCTTGAGGTGCCACAATTCCTTTAGCGGCTTCCTTGACTACTTTGGCTCTGTCCCAAGGGTTTTCTCGTCTGCCATTCAATATTATAATGTGACAACTTTGCCATCATGCCGCTGCTCGCTCGCTCGCTCAACTGCTAATTGCACATTTCTTGTCAAAGTTGCGATGCGGCCTTTAATGAGCTGCAAGCTGACCCCGGATAACCACCACCCCCGCTCCGGCCAATCTCCTCCTGCCTGACTGCCTGCTTATGGGCCATTGATTAAACTTAATCAATGCGCTTAAGGCAACTCGCAACTCCTGTGCACTGTAATTAAAATGCAGCCACGATGCCAGCGAAGGCGGCCTTATAAAAATTAATTAAGCTTGCGCCGCAGTTTTCCGCCCACAACCCCTTCGCTGGAAAATTCTACAGCTTCAGTAGCTGCACAGGGAAAAACGTGTTTTTTCTTTCATAAAATATCATTGTAATCGCTTTTTGTTTTTAAACTAAAGGATGCAGTTGATCACATTGAGCTACATAAAATATTTATTAAATGTTCGTCCTGGTTTTTACTTAAAAATAAGTGTAACGATACAAAATCTCAGTTTTTAAGTGCACCTATTTTGTTTTACTTTTCGTTATGTATTTTATATTAAATAGCCACCGAATATACGAAGTTAAATCCAATAGGATTATACCCTTTGATTTAATGTGTTTTCGTTATTTTATTATCTGCATTTTCCCCGTGTAGCGTAGCTGTTGTTCGCGCCTCGCAATTCGCAGCTCTTCAAGTGCAGCAGCCGATGAAACCAACTACAACATTGTTTTTCAATTAACAATCAACAACAATGCCGCAACACAATACAAACGAACGGCGAAGGTTACACGCGCCAAATGACACAAAAATTGCCAGCTCAGGTGCTGCAAGGATAAGGGGCGGTGGGCCACAGGACTGCCGTTGGGGGCGTGGCAGGCGGGGCAGTACAATTGCAATTGTTGTTGTTAATTAAGCGGGCAAAACTGGAAAGGCGAACACTGCGCTCGAATTGCGGCCTGTTGTTAATGTCCGCCCATCGATGGCCAAATGGCCAAATGGGCGAACGGCCCCTTTGCCCCACCGATAGCTGTCATAATTACACTGCCCCTGGATCGGTGGCCAGCTCATTATGCCGCCCGTTTTCCGATTTCCCGATTTCCCCACTCTCCTCATTGCCCATTCCTCATCCAGCGACCGCAAACTTTAATTCTATTAGCAAACGTTAAATGAACAGCAACCGAAATGGGGTGGTGCTCGATATGTATGTATATAATTTTGTTTACTGTTTCCGTTGATATTACAGCAATCTCCGTTGTGGCAATATTTTGCATTAAAAATTGTTAGCAGGAAAAAGTTGTAGAAAATTAATATTCAAATGCCGTTTGGTATGTGATTTTTCATATAAAATTCTTGACACCTTTTAGATTTTAATTATTAATTTACCTAATCTAATAGTCTAGTTTTAGTTTAATGAATATTAGTTAAAAGTATTTTTAAATATATTGAACTCATTCGTAATTTATTATTGAAACGTTCTCTGTTTCAATTAAAATCACACTTTTATACAACAAAGCCAGCCGCAATAATGATTACCTACAGGTCCACAGATAATTGACCAACTTTGGCAATTAAAAGAAGCCAAATGTGCTATTATCTTGGCCGCAAATGTATATAAATGTGTGTGCCACTAACAAGCAGGCGCGCGTAATTTTATTTAAATCTGAATTCATTAATTCGTCATAATCCCCAATCATTGCGCCGCCTGGCAGCGCGAAGAACTTCAAAAAGCCATCAACGACAGACGTTGATGCTGTACCGCCACTGCTGGCCCCGACCACCCACTCCGCCCCCCTCGCATTCGCCCCGCCCACCCATCGAACCGCCCGAAAAGCCGGGCCATTCATTTGGCTCATTTTGTGTACAAAAATGCTGCGCTCAGTGGAAACGGCGACGCTTCATTATCGTAATCGTTATATAAAACAGCGGGCAGACTACAGACTACAGACTACGGAATTCAGAAATTCAGAAAATCAGACGATGACTACAGTGTCAGACATCTGTATATGTACGTGTCTGTCTGTATGTATTTTATGCGTTTTGTGGCACATTATGTGCTTACAGTGAGTCCTAGACGAGGCGACTGCTGTTGACATTAATGAATGTGGCCGACAAAGAGTGCTGCGGGTGATTTTTATTTGAGTTCCCGCCTCCCGAGGAATTAGGCAGTGACCAGCAAAAAAAAAATAAAAGCAGGCTCGAAAGCGGAAAGGTTAAAGTGCCTAACAGAAGTATTTTCACAGTCCAGGGAAGCAGTTTTCCTGTTTGAATATTGGACTAGTATTTTACTTTAAATCCAAGAAATCCACGAAAATATGAAGACTAATTCCTGATATTTAAACTGATAGATTATTATAATGTCTATACATGCAGATAATGAAATAATATTAATTTCGGTTAAAAATTTAAAAAGTGATTTGGATTGTAGAAAATGTTATTTTCATTATTTAAAGAGCTTGGTCTGAAACTAAACTGCGTCAAGGAATTAGGGGAAACTAGCTATTTGTTTTCTGTATGATACCCAGAAATTCATAATGATTCGGCTTACTCCGGAAATTAAAGTTAAGGAGCGCAAGGCTTGCGGTCTATGCGAACAATCGTGTTTGTTAGCGATTCAATGGAATGCTCTACTTTGTCAGATTCCCGGAATGCACATTCTATGCACACCCGTATATGAATGCAGCGACAGATGGATGAAGCTCTGCCCGGCCACTCGTTAAATCGTCAGCAATTCCCACCCTCTTTCGCCCGTCTGCGGACCGCTTTATCCTGCCCATCCACGCCTTTGGTTTTGTTTCAAAGTCCCCGAAGTTCTAACTGGATAATTTGCAGTAATTCATCTTGCCGGCGGTTTTCTCGATTCTCCGTCGGACTTTTTTCCTTGGATTCATCGCCTCGCAGCCGCTTCCACTCCGTTTTTTGGGTTTCCCGCTTTTGTATGCCTGCTTGATTGCGACAATTTATACGGCGTCGGGCTTGTCAGGATTTGGTTTTTGGTGGCTTGCGGTGGCTGCCCGTAAAATTGAAACGGAAAAGGAGAAGAGGGAAAAATCCCAGAAGCCGACGCTCTTCAAAAATGCTGGGGAATGCTGAAAATGAAGGGGATAACGCAAACGCTGCGGCGATTTAAAGCTGCAACTGAATAGTCATACATCTAATGATAGTCTGTCCCCAGCACTCGGCACTTACTTATTTTTCGTTTCTGCGAGAGCGAAAAAAGCCCCAGTA